TATCCTCCGGGAACCTGGCAGACATCCCAAGGCCCCAAGACAGTACTGCTTCAACCCTTCGGCCTTCACGCAAAAGCTGCTTGCGGACACAAACCACAAACCGAACGAATGCATACCCTCCAACTATCTACTCGTCACATTCTGGGCCCAAGTTTGCCTGAAACATAGCCTCAGAGCTGATTGCCACTCGTGACGTGGAACCCTAAAGCCTGAACCTCAAACCCCTAACCACCTCAACGCAACCCGCCCATCCCCAAAACTAACCCGAAAACTGGAGCTAGCCTCGACGAGGCCGTCGAGATCCCCCGTCCATTGGGCGTACGGGTTCATGGCCGTGGTATCCTGGGCTATTGCTCAGGAACTTGATTTAAGCTACCATAATTGGGATCTATACTAAATAATATGGTTTCCTTATTATGGTAACTTGAAGTAAATCCGTTGAAATAAGAACCCAGTATCCCGGGCGTTCTTTCATGGTCTTCCGATGGTGCTGTTGCGATTTTATTGTAGTTTCGCCAGCGGCTTAGGTACCCAAAACCTTTATTACCCTTTAACTTTAAGTCTGTTGTAGCGCTAAGGAACCCTGAACCCCAAACCCTAAAAATCGAAAGCCTAAAACCCAAAAAACCCCGTAAGTCCCAAACCCCCAAGCCCGAAACTCAGATTAGCCCCAAACTCCTTTCTAGCACCCCTAAAAAGAGCACTAAACACGCATCTAAAGTCTCTCATCCCTCAAGATGAGGTGCCTGACTGCTTAACTTAGCGGCTTTAAAATGCTCATACAATGAAGGTGCATGCAAGGGTATGGGGTTCGGACGTTTAGGGTGTAGGGTTTAGGAAATCGTTTAATATGGGTGCCTGAATACTTACCTAAACTATTTGGGGTTCCTTTGTATAATTATAGAATAATGGGCCCCAAAACCCTATTCTAATTCTTAAGGCCCCTTTTTTAAACACCTACGATACTGAACTCGAACCCAGCATCGGTCCAGAGCCGCCCCGTCTCGTTGCAGAAGGCGATGTCCTCTCAACTCTGGGTTGCAAGAATTCATTCTTGTAGGGTTTTAGGGCTTTAGGGTTTTAGGCTTTAGGGTTTAGGGCTTTAGGTTTTAGGGTTTTAGGGTTCAGGGTTTAGGGTTTTAGGGCTTTAGGGCTTTAGGGTTTTAGGGTTTAGGGCTTTAGGGCTTTAGGGTCTAAGGCTTCAGGGTTTTAGGGTTTTAGGGTTTAGGGCTTTAGGGTTTAGGGCTTTAGGGTTTTAGGGCTTTTAAGGATCAATTAGGGTTTTAGGGTTTAGGGTTTAGGGTTTTAGGGTTTAAGGTTTAGTGTTTAGGGTTTTAGGGTTTAGGGTTTTGGGGTTTGGGTTTCGTAAGTCCTTGTAGGGTGCTTTTAGGGTTCTAGGGTTGAGGGTTTAAGGGCCGAGGGTGCTTGGGGAGTCTGGGGAGAATGTAGGGTCTCTATCTTTGGAATTACTGCTATGATTCGGGGAAAAATCCCCATCATAATACGCTAAACCCAAAGCCCTAAACCCTAAACACCTATAGTACCCTTAGAACCAGTACCCTCTTTCCCGCGAGGGGCCGAGGTAGGGCTTTGATTTAGGGCTCCGGGGTGGCCTTCAGGCTTCCGATCGAAGGTGCTGCTGGCAAAATTTACGCCAACTCAACTCACTGTTCTAGTTCTTGCCGTTAGTGAAATCATGAACTACTATCTTGCCATTGCTACAGCTAAGGGCTACTGCAACTGCTGCTGCTAACAATAAGTCTGCCTCCTCCACCTACTACTTCCCTAGTTCTGCTACTGCTTCCACTTCTACTTCTAGCATCACCCTGCTCGTTCCGCTCACCTTCCTAATTAGGGGCCTTACTAACTGGAACAGGGTTTTGGGGCCTATTAAACTATAATTCTAATAATAAAGAACCCCAAAATAGTATTGGCAATTATTTAGGCCCCCAGCCTATCCATGCCGTCTGACTTGCCGTCAGTCCTCGGCCGGCAAATCCGTCAGCTTGTCGAAGTGTTTCTTTGCCTTACTTCCCAAAAATACCCTGGGATGCATTAGGGGTTCCGGAGAAAAGGACTATATTGTCTACATAGCTCATCAGAAACCAAGAGGTTGAAAAATTTAGGTATTGGACCTTGGACCACCAAGCTGCATCATAGTTTGAGGTGTTGTAGCTCATATAGAACTGCAGGGTGTGCCCGGTAGCGCCATAGGCTTCCTGGAGGACATCCTGGGAGACATACATTGCCTCTTCACCAGAATAGCCCATGGTACCGAGATCTTCCGGGACTTGGCTCGGATGGTTCTCTCTGAAGATCTGGAACTCCGCACCATAGGCTCCGATCCAGGTCTCTAGAGCTATGTGGCCCACCTCCGGGAATCCTTCGGACCTAGAAAGCCTCAAACCCTAAACCAACTGCCTCTTAAAGCTTGGCGCCCCTAAGCCTCTCGCCCTCAAGCTGCTTTTAACTCTCGAGCCAATACCCCTGAACCGTCATAGCAATCCTCTTTGTAGCCCCTATTAGAAGCCGTCAAAGGAACCCCAAATCCCAAACTTTGGGGCCTCTGGGGATAACTCGGAGCAGTTGGTGTTTTTGCAACCTGAAAGCGGCAAAGCTGCGTCCAAAACCTGAGTGCTTCCTAAGGGCTTCGGGGTTTGGAGTTAAGGGCTCTTCTTGAAGAACGCGTGGGTATATTTTCAAGGTTCTCTATTGGCTTTACAAGGACTTTGGGTGCGTGTTGGGGAATGCCGTACATGGTGGCATACGGTTTTATGGAGCGTGACTTTCGATCTTAAAAAAGCGTTTGCAGAGGTCTCGATGGCCTTAAGCTCGATTTACTTGGGAGTTGACCAAATACTGGTTAAGTTCATAAATAGAATACCCTAAACCCTAAATCGCTAAATCCCTAAACCCCTACTCCCCTAAAAATACTTTTCTTGAATTAAAGCAGAATGCTTAAACCCTACAGAATGCTTTTCTTGCGCTACTCGTAGCTTGACGAAGCTAATAAAAACCCAGCAGCCGCCAGCGGTCGGAGGTCACTGATGGAGGCTCTGTATCCCAAGACCTGCTGGTTTCTTGGGCTTTTGCAGTTCAAGGGGGCTTAGGGCTTAGGGTTTAGGGTTTAGGTGTTATTCAGTTCAGGGGGGTGTAGGGGTTTAGGGTTTATTCAGTTCCAGGAAAATTTGGGGGTTTGTGCAAAATCGGGGCGAGATACACGCAACAAGCACGGGCTATCGGTAGAACGACCTCGCTGCGCACGCTTAGAGGCCATGTAAACATCCCAAGCAAGACTAGGAGGTACAGCCTAAGATCAACACAGCTCACAACAGGTATGTGGGTAGTTCCCTAAAGTGGGCTCCCTTTTAGGGTCCCTACGCTAATTCAGCAAACTACCCATATGGGGGCATCTCATGGCTCGTTGGTGTGGGCATCTGCTATTCTACTTATTTGCAGGACTGGGATGACCCCTCCGTATTTAGGGGTGCTCAGGTTTTGTGTGTTTAGGTTTAAGGACGTAGGGTTTAGGCATTGGGGTTTGCAGTTTAGCGATTGAGTTGTACATCTACAGCCTGCGTCAAAAACGTCTCATCTTACTGGGAAGTCTGAAACGGCTGAAGGCAAGAATGCTGAGGTCACACAGGGGTCGGAATAATTCCTTGTAGCCGCTATTTTGCCCTACTATAATGCACCCCTCAGGCCATCTCAACGTCCCATAGGCCTATTATGGCCTCTGGACCTACTGGCTGTAAGCCAGCCTGCGATGAGTCCTTTTGTCGAGCTTGTCGTTTAAGGTTCAAGCTTGCCCCAACACGAGAAAAAGCTCCTCCAAGGTTTGAGCCAGATCCTTCGGACCTCCAAAGACCCTGTGATGTGCTATCGCAACTGAGGCCTCAGTAAGTAGTGGAAATAGAGGGGCCTTAATAATTCGAATAGGGGTTTGGGGCATGTTATACTACAATTATAGTAAGGAACCCCCACTCTAGTATAGGGCAATTATTCAGGCCCCAGTAAGTAGCGGTACCACACGAAGCAGACGCGACGACATGGCCATGCGCACGCCTCTTCGACCACAATCCTAGCGATGATGGACACGAGCTCTGCCGAAGACCACTCGAAAGCCAGGAGCTGGATCCTTAACTCCCCAGTACAAGGCCAGCCGTTCGCCTACTCTTCAGCTTGAGTGGGGAAACTTACGCGAAAAATGGTAAAAGAGTACTCCTGGGTGGGACTTAGAATCGCATCGAGCTCACCGGTACTTCTTTGCAGGAACTCCCGGTCAGCTTCTGGGATTCCATCCGGCAGGCACAAGTCCCCTCTGCCGACAGCGAGCAGAAGCCATGGCAGCAAATTCATCCCCGCAAGCCACGGCGTCAGGTTTAGGCTTTAGACTTCTCGTGAGATTGTCTGAGGATATCCTTCACATGGACTTGAAGATTATCGATAACATGCCATCATCTTGACGACACTCGTAACAGTTCTGCTAAGTCATTGAGCTTGACCTGCAAAGTTGCTTCAAGCAAGCTCGGCCTCCGACTGTCTCGTGGAGCATTTGCGTTTATTCAATCACTCATGCATGCGCTCGGGTGTGCTTGGTGAGTCGCACCTTCTCCGCAGCAGCGACCCGCTCGTGCCGCGGAGCAGCATCCGCTGTAACAAGAGGCAGCAATGCAGAAGTGCATCGCCAACTCATGCTCGGCGCACATGGACAATCTCTGAACTCTACCGTGGGAAGCTGACGTGGGGATGCGCAATTGGACAGCTTTTGGACATGAAGTTGCCGGGCCTGGCACGCTGTGAACTTCGGGGCCCCAAGATATGTTGATATAAAAACCCTATGCAGACCAGACAATATTTAAGTCGACTCAGGCAGTGCGGCAACTACGGTGGGCAAAAGATGCGTGCAAGTTGGCAAAGCACCGCATTTGTCCTTCGGTCTTCGGCGCACCATGCCTTTGATGTGATTCACGCCGCCTCGTTTTTTACTGCCGAGGGCTTCAACAGAGGTGCAGGACTCCGTAGAAGTTACTCGAGATGTACCGCAACCACTCCCACTGCCCAGACACGACAAGACAAAGCACCCCCTGGTCGTGGTCGACGGCATTATTTGCAACAAGTCGGTGGACGGTACCAGAGTAGTCTTGCCAGAACTTCTCAAGGGCCACAGGGTCGCCACCCCAGAACGTTCCCATGACCTCATCAAAATGGTGTGTCAAGTCATAGGTTGACAGATATTTGCTGAAGCTCAGCTCTCCAAGCGGTAGCGGTTGAGGTACACGCAGCGCGGCTTTCTCTGAGCCCAGGAAGAGCTCCTCCTTGCTGTTGAGCTGGTGGAACACTGTAACCGTACCTGGCACCGCAACGTTGCAGGCACAGAAATGTTCAGGCACCTTGACAGCACCGTGGCCAGCCCCAACATCCAGCCACACAAAATAGCTGTTGCCTAAGTTGAAGTTGCTGGATGAGTTCCGAAAGTAGTTCTCTCGTACTGCTTGCACCACGAAATTTGCCTTCTCATTCGTGACCCAGGCATAGTTTGGTACAACCTTTCCACTGATGCCTGAGTGGAAACTGTTGAGAAGATGCCTGCAATACTTCCTGGCGGCAATGACCTGCATCTTCTCAAGCAAGTGGTGGAAAGCCAAGCTTGCTGGCTGGCCCCATTTTGAAGCTGCGGACTCCTCGGAGCTCTCTGCTACCTCCAAGAGTCTCAAGTGGGTTCGATGTTGTAGGCCCAGTGCGCTCCGCACCGCAAACACCACCTCCAAAGCCCAAGCCTCTCCGTAGAATACAAGATCGTACTGTCGGTGAAGATGTGGGCCGAACATGCGCAAGTAGTCGCAGCCGGAACGGCCACGCCGCCCGGCATCGATCAGAGCGCTTACAACCGTAAAGCGTGGAAATTGCTCGCTTTCGTTGGACTTGCAGCGGCCATCTTGGTAATCGCCATCAGGAAGGCGGCAGTCGCAGCGCTGGGCTGCCGCATCCCAGTGCACCGTATCCGCTGCGAAGTCGCGCATCTCTAGGATCTCTTTTGCCAGCTTCTCGGTGTCGCATCCCTCAGGCCGGTAGCCTGGCCGAAGGGCCCGAAAACCAGGGACCCAGCCGTTCTTCCAAGTGGCGAAATTCAGAAAAATGGGCCAGAAAAAGACCCAGAACCAACAGCTGATAGCAAAGCACAATATCGTGTTCACGTGACGCGGGTTAAGAATTCTACAAGCTCTGCCCAGAAATGCTGCCACAAGATATCCCAAAGTGGCGGCCATGGCAATGCCAGCACCCCTAGCACTTGGCACACACCAGAACGCCATCAGTATTGCCAAAACTCGGGTGAACATGACGCACAGGCTGCCAGTAACCTCTTTTTGACCCTTAGCTCCAGCATCATAGGTCTCAAGTTCCATCCCGCGACGGGCTCCAATAGCAGCACGGTGAGCCATTGCAAAGAGCCTGAATGCGTGTAAAAGAACGATCTTTTCAACCTAAATGGGAGGTTCCTTCCGAAAAGTAGGGTACCTTATTTAAGGGTCCTTATAATAAGGATCCTACTATTTAGGGTACTATATTAGGGTCCCTATTTTCGGAAACTCCCGAATGGGGTCTTAGTGCCAGGGCCATACTTTCTGCATAAAAACCCCTACATCCATGACTCATGCAATCCGACACCCTAACCCCTAAACCCTAAATTCTACTTATGCAATCCGATCAGACCCCGAAAGTGCAGGACTTCGCTCCTCAAGCCCGAAGCTTCAAGCATGGGTCACGCACGTCAGGCGTCTGAATTGCGTGACACAGGGATCTAACGGCTGCTCGACGGAGAAATTCCTGAGATTTCCGAAAATGACAACAGCCCGAAATAGTGACAGTAGGATGTTGAACATGAGATGATGCCGGAATTCCAATCGTGACGTAGGGAAGGGAAGAGCTTCTGGAAGGTAAGGTTAAGCCTAGGATCTCTGCCGAAGTTCTATTTTGAACCTAAGAATTCTGAACGCCTCAGCCGGCTCATACTTTAGCCTCCTCTTCTGCGAAACCATGACCTGTTGCGTTGCAGAACGTAGGATAAGACGTTGCAGATTGCTCGCTTGGCGCAGCTCGACTCTTGCCATCGTGCACTTTCCATGACAAATCTCGCATCTTCAACAAAGCTTCGACACGATTTATCACGAAGAGCCCAATGCAAAGAGCAGGAAGCGAACGCAAGGTTCGCAGGCTGCGCAAGTCTCAGTAAATACCAATCAACATCCAGGATTTAGTCGGTAGGAAATCGGCGCTGACAACAAGAAGGTCTGCCAACCTAAATGTCTGACTCAGGTGATGTGTCTCAAAAGGATGAACAACATACAAGGAACCCCAAGACAAGCGGAAAGTAACCGCTCAGGACAGGGTCTGGAAGGAATCCTACACCAGGTGTCAGAACGCAGGGCTGAGGCAAAACAGAGACCCAACTGCGGACCTTTCCGAAGTCGATCCGTATCCCTGCCCGGAGTCCCGGAGTGAGCAAAGACTATTGACAAAACGAAGCACCCTGTGACATCCTTGAACCCTTTCGCCTCAGCGGTTTTTCCACAATGCACGGCACTGTCTGTGTACGAAGCTCCGCCCTGCACTCATCGGCTCAGCCTCGCATCGCTGGGGCATTCATGTGTTGGTGGACGCAGGTGTGCCAGCATACGACAAAAGTGCCGCCTATGCCCCCGGCACGCGGGTTGTAGGGCTTTCCTGCATTCTAGTGTTGTAGTGTTTAGGGTGGAGCTTCCAGGCTGAGGCAGAGGCGGCAAGCTCACGCTTTTATACACCAGGTTTCTTGCAAGGTCAGGTGAGCAGCTATGTACGAAGTGGCCCATGTCCACTGATTTGTTTACGAAGCTCTTGCAATCCATAAGGCTGGCTTTGGAGGCTTCAAAAAAGCATCACTTAGGATGGAAAAAGACTGCTTGGGGTTTGGGCCTGTGGAGTTTAGGGTTTATAGGCATTGTGTCCATGAAAAATTGCCCATATCTCTGAAGCCAGACAGACCAACCCCCGTGTCTCTCACAAGGCAGCAGGATGTATAACAGAAGCATTCCACAACAACACGGGGTTTGGGTGCAGGTGCCTTTTAGGCACATCAGGATAATATAAGCATCCAAAATCAGAGTCTCCAACTTTCGCTAGAGTTGTTCCTCGATGTGAACCGAGGCAGCAGAGAGGGTCTGAATTGTGAGATACAGCTGGCCTTGAACATGGCCATGGCAAGGCAAATTGGAAAGCCTTACCACTCTGCGCACGACGCTTTTGTACATGGGTGTCCAGATTGAGCGTCAAAATCGGCGCTGAGCTACAAGATTTCACAAGCCGCTAGCCGGGCCAGCTGAGTATATGTACAAGCTGCAGGATCAAGGCTGCGGGCGCACGTCAAGAATCTCAATTCCAACTGTCAAGCTTCCGTTGCTCTTGTCCACCTGGGAGTTTGCACATGAAGCAGCCCAAGATTGGTCTCATTACTGTATGTAAAGATCTCAATTATACGAGCTACACCCTTAGCCCTGAAACTCCAGAACCCTAAAGCCTAAAGCCCTCAACCCTCCCGCCATACCCTACAACCCTGAGCCCTAAACCCCGAAACTAAACCCCTACATACCTAAGCCCCTAAACCCCTAAACACCCCTACAAGACCCTAAACCCCTCCCTAAACCCCAAACCAAACCCTTACAGGAACCCGAAACCTACAGCAACCCTTATGGTAATCCTCACAGGAAAACCCCCAAGACCCCACCATAAACCCCAAGCCCTTTAAGGAACCCTAAAAGGGAACCCCCTACTTTACCCTGAACCCCTCCTGAATCCTAAACCCTACAGCAACCCTTAGAGATCCTTTGAAGGAACCCCTAAACCCCTGAACCCTACACCCTAAAGTGCCCCTATAGTAGATCCACTGAAGGAGCCCTAAACCCTTTATAGTACCCTTACAGTAGATCCACTAAAGGAACCCTAAACCCAAAACCCCAAACTTAATCCCAAACCCCAAACCATGAACCCTAACCTCTAAACCCTTCAAAACCCTAAACCCCCCAAACCCCATAGTACCCTTAAAGTAAACCTTATAGATCCCTTAAAGGAATCCCCAAACCCCTAACTAACCCCCCCTAAACCCTCCCCCCCCTCAATCCTTAAGAGTCATGTATAGGGAATCCCAGCACTATTTGGCATTTTCCAACTTTTTGGGGTTTACCCTCCGGCTCCTCCCGCCTGCTTCAACCAATCCACGCCCAAGTCCTCGAGCCCATGGATCGCTTGCTCGGAGAAGTCGTAGACCAAGGGCCCAGCGCGAACCTCTACAGCACGTAGAGTTGTGCCGTGTACTGAAGTGTATTATAGTATATTCTAGGAGACTATAGTATACTGTAGTATATGTTAGTTTATCATATTATCTGGCTTGCTCGCTTGTTGAAAGAGTTTGGTTTACATGGTCTTATCAATCCTGCTATTCGGGTTGGGCTGCAGTAGACTTACAGGGGCTTTGAGCAGGCAATTAGGGTTTGTTAGAGCCGAATATCTTGCGAGATTTGGTTTAGAGCTTTCGGGCTTCTGTGGTCTTAAGGTTTAGGTTTCTGTTGCAGGGCCTGTCCCACGAGGAGGTTCACGGTCATCACGGTGGCACACTGGAGGCAGTCTGCCTTTAGCTTCAGTGAGCCGTGAAGGGGGCCTTTCTTGATCATCTGCGTGTAGAGGCCCTTTCGCTCACCTGTAAGGGCGGTGAAAGGTTATGTGGGACGTTAAGGAACTTGCTTCAACTTGCCCCAATAAGGAAAGCATCTTATCGGCTACCATACGCCGAGATGCCAAAACACGAAAGCGTAAACCCTAAACGCCTTGCCTAAACCCCCTTGCTATTAGGACAAGTAAGTTAGGCTCCTTCAGAAGAGCCCAGTCACTGCTCCGGGCATTCTTCATGGTCTCCCGTCCATCAGGAAACACCTAGGTTCCCCCAGCAGTTTTGGAGTATCGTATACCAGTTGCACTAAGGAACCCTAAGGTGAGGATGACCTTCTCCGCTCCAGGATGTTTCTACGCAAGAAAAGTTCTACTACTGGACTACTACGGGGTGGGGCGGCCTTCGGCCTAGGCGCCATTAGACGAAGATTTGGTAGGCCAAGAGCTGCGAAGGGAGGTGAAACCAGTGGCCTTCCCATGCTGGCTTGGAGCTTTCCATTGAGGTCGTCAATTCTCCACTCAACGCGTGTGCACATGGAGCCGGCATAGTCAACGCCAAAGATCTTGATGCCAGGCGGCAAGTCTAGTTCGGTTGCAACGGGCACTACGGATTTGGCCACCCTGGGGCCTGCGAGTGATTGCTCGGCTGCTAGCCCGGGGGGCGGCTGAAAGCGCTTGGGGGCTTCTTCTTGCCATGGTGTGGGGTCAACGGTGGCAAACTGCTCGATCATAGTGGAAAGGTGTGGGGGCAACTCCAAGGGCTCGTCGCCCGCAAGTGGCTTGTCGTACTTGTTGATGATGGGTTCTGGTAGAGGGACTCGGAGCGGCGAGGCCCATGACGAGGCGGGCATCGCGCGCATCGGCATCGAGGGCGCCGGCGGCGCAGGCATCGCCTCTGGGAGATGTTGGGGTAGTTGGGACATTGGCCACGGGGAGCTCATGGCGGAGGCGGTCTCGGTCCACGGTCTCGGCTCTGCGTCCTCGTTCCACGCGTGGGCGTAGCCGGTGGGACCACCTGGTGCCGCTAATTGGGCATCTAGCCCTGAGAGGTACATCTTCTTCGTGTCACCACTCCACTCCTCGGCATTCCAGGCATGCAGAAAGCTCCCGAGCCGCGGCAGACTCATTTAAACCCACCAGCCTGACAAAAACACCACGTAGCCCACAGCCCTGTAGCTTCACATAAACCTCCGCGGATCACGGCTTTGAAGTCTGAAGCATGTTCTAAATCAAAAGCAGCAACAGAAAGAAGAGAAGAAGAAGCGGATTGAACAAAAAAACAAGAACGACGACCACCACGACCGCGACGCGAGGGGAAGAGGAGGAGCAGGGGGAGGAGGAGGAGGAGGAGGAGGAGGAGGAGAAGGAGGAGGAGGATGAGGGGGAGGAGGAGGAGGAGGAGGGCTCCAGCAACATCAAGACCATTCTCACCGGCTACAGTTTGCCTCTGGTACTGCACCAGCGCCACCGTCACCAAGCATCGACGACAAGTAGTAAACAAGCATCAACGACAGACAGAAGATGGCGTACAGGGACGAGGACAACGTTGACAACCAGACACGAAAGTAAGCGGTCAACAACAAAGGTTCAGCAACAGCACTAGCACCCCCAGCGGCTGCTGGTAGTGCACCTCAGTATCATCGTCCTGATGAGCAAGTAGGCGCTTCAAAACCCCAACCCACAAGCCCAATGTCTCAAACCCTTAGCCTGTTTTGCAAACTCTAAACCAGCAACGGTAGCGTGGACAAATGGACAGCCCCCGAGCACGCAAGGGCGGACAGTGCCAAAAAAACTACAAAAAGCTCACGTCACACATGCCCGAACAAGAGCACCGACAAGACCCACCCGACAAGCTCGAACCAAAAAGCTACCATAATAAACAAACAACAGGCAAGCAAACAAACAAACAAACAAACAAACAAACAAACAAACAAAAAAACAAACAAACAAGCAGACAAACAAACAAGTCAGTAACCAAAAACAACCAAAACACTCACTGACCCACACACAAACAAACACACACACACACACACTCACACAAACTCACACACACACACACACGCACACACACACACACACACACACACGCGCACACACACACACACACACACACACACCCACACGCACACGCACACGCACACGCACATGCACACGCACACGCACAGGCACACGTACAGGCACACGTACAGGCACACGCACACGCACGCACACGCACTCGCACGCACACGCACACGCACACGCACACGCACACGCACACGCACACGCACACGCACACGCACACGCACACGCACACGCACACACACACGCACACACACACACACACACACACGGGCGCGCACACGCACACACACACACACACACACATGCACGCAGGTCACGCAGGAATGGGCCAATCTGAGGCCGGGTCCGACCATCCCTCCGGGTTTCCGGCGAGGGACTCGGAGATGGAGATGGTGAGCATCTCCTCCTCGCCAAAATCCGGGGTCTTAGGGGCTTTTGATAGGGTTGTAGGGTTAAAGGGCTGTAGGGTTATAAAGCTACAGGGTCTTATAGGGTTATCGGCAAGCTATAGGGTTTTAGGGTCCTAGGGCTTTTTAGAGGGCTCGCCGGTTATAGGGTGTAGGGCCTACATTCCAAGCGGGCGAAAGGAGCGCTTCACACAAGCTTCGTCCTGATCTTGAAGCTTAAGGGGACTTAGATATTAAAGCATGTTATAGTATAAAATAGTCCCTTCAATATTTTATGGTAAGGTTCAGAGCTTCAGGGTTTACGGTTTAGGGCGTGAGGGGGGGGGGGGTTGGCTTAGGCGTTTCGGGGTTTGGGCTTTCCTCGTACGGGGACTCAGCGAGGGTTCTTCGAAGGTTTTGTCCCGGGGCGTTTGTTGAAAATTAGCTTCAGCGGTGTCGGAGTTTCCTCCATGTGAGGACCCGGGAAATAAGGTACCCCTAGCTGTGGCCCCTCCAGAAGCCGGCAAACAAGCCCCAGCAACTGCTAGCACAGTCGTTGGAGAAGGACCCTCGACCTAGAAAAAGAAACACACCTCCATCTCCGCTCATGATGAGAGAGAAGGAGGCAATTACGGATTATGGCGCATAAATCATAAACTCCACACGGCCCTAAACCCTGAAACGACCCCATGATTTCGAGACGGCCCCAAAAGACTCGCGAGGCGAACCCAAGTACACCTTCAACGCTTGGAGAACCCTTATACAAGATCCCAAAAAGGGTCCTCATAGAATCCTTTTTTGAAACCTTAGCAGCCCTTTAGGACCATTATAGAAACCTGAAGCCTGAAACCTTACAATCCTTATCAGCCCTTTTATGGGGAGGGCATGTGGGGCTTTAGAGCTTACGGGCTAGAGTCTGGGGGGTTTGGGTTTAAGGCTTGTGATTTTGGTGTGTAGGGGTTAGGTTTTAGGGGTGAAGTTTTAAGGTTTGAGGCTGTCGTTCAGGGTCTCTGGTTTAGCGCTACGGCCTAGGGTTGGGGCTTCAGCATCCAGGGCTGGACAGTATTGATGTCGATAAGTTAGGCTCACTCATAGGATTGAACCCCGACGCAGAAGACCAGCCGTCCTTCGTGCGGCCCGTTTTGTTTTGCCCCGTCTTCGGGGCCCGGGGAAAGACTACAGGTCTTTGCAGTGATCCCACGCTGCAGCAAGCATCAAGGGTAGCTGGCCATGCATGCAACAGAAATGAGCAGCACGGTTTATGGGGCTAGTGTCAGGGTGTAGGATAATTAGATGTTTACGGTTCAGGATGGCATGAGGCCTCTCCTGCTAAGCAAACCCCCTGCGGGAAGCCTTGTATCTCTTCACAGGGCAGCAGCCATGGCTCCGATCTCCGGGTTCTATCAAAAGTGCGAGAAGCGGCGACTACGTGTGGCTAAACGAGCAGCAATGTCCGATAACGAGTGCTGCACTGCGACGGCAACTGCCACCACCACCACCACCACCACCACCACCACCACCGCCGCGGCTGCTGTTGCTGCTGCCGCGGCTGCTGCTGCGCTGCTGCGCTGCTGCTGCTACGACGACTACCGCTGCTGCTGCTGCTGCTGCTGCTGCTGCTGCTGCTGCTGCTACTGCTACTGCTACTGCTACTGCTACTGCTACTGCTACTGCTACTACTACTGCTACTACTACTCCTACTACTACTACTACTACTACTACTACTACTACTACTACTACTACTACTACTACTACTACTACTACTACTACTACTACTACTACTACTACTACTACTACTATTACTGATAACAACCATCATCATCAGGACACATCAACACTCCCACTACCACAACGACGACGACTACGACCACGACCACAGCGACGACGACGATCACGACAACGCGGATGGTGACGACGACCACGGCGACGAAGACGACTGCCACTACGGCGACAACGACTCTGACTCGGGACTACTCCTTGGTCCAGCTCCTGTTCTTGCTAGCACCGTCATTGGCTTCTTGTGTGTTTCTGCCTTCCCATCTGTGCTTGCATTGGGTCTGAGTCTTGCGGCTGCGGCATCGACGCATCGCAAAGTGCAGAGTGACTCGGCGATCCTGTAGCGAACCCACGCTTCGAAGCAAGTCATCTGAGTGGTACGAGAAGAAGGCTGGCCGAAGGGTCTCGGGGAGTGTCCTACTAAAATCGCACTCTGTCGACATGATGCCTTAATTGTGTGGGCGGGGGGCTTTTGAAGTGTTGTACCTTCTTTGGCAGTCCAAAACTCAGAGAACCACACGCCTGAGACGCAAACCCTGAATCATATCCGTAAACCCCATGTGACTTTTTGTCCCGTCCATCCAGGTCCAACCGAGAGAGACGATCCAAACCTCAGCAAGTGTTGCACTTGGGAGATCGGCCGGGTCGGTGTGACTTTGTACAGGGTTTCGCGCGAGGGCTTTGCGGAGTAGCTAAATGCGCTTTTATCTAAACCAGAAGAGAAGCCTAAAACCCCGAACCCGGAGGCAGAAACATCCTGAAAGCCCTAATGAAATAAACAGGCCTTGGAGAGTGTCCACACTTGTTATAGTGATGCTGGCGCTGCTCGCTGAGTCTGCCGATCTCCGAAAGAACTGCGAGCACGAAAAGCTCAACTGTACTCAGTGGCAAAGGTGGCAGTGGCGGTAGCAACAACGAAGACGAAGGCTATCAACAAGATTTAGAAGTAGCAGGTAGTAGTAGCAGGTAGTAGTAGCAGTAGTCGTCGTCGTAGTAGTAGTAGTAGTTGTTGTGGTGGTAGTCGTGGTAGCAGTAACAGTAGCTGGCAGTAGGAATAGGAGGAGGGGTAGTAGGAGTCGGAGTAGGAGTAGCAGCAGCAGCAGCAGCAGTGGCAGCAACAGTAGAAGTGATGCACCTGAAGCTCAACCTCCAAAATCCGAACCCTAAACCAAACCTCCGTGAAATCCCAACCTCAAAGCTCTAAAGCCTTTCATAAATCCTTCGAAATCCACGTACAACCAGATAAAGCCTCTATCCCTCTAAAACCCCCCCAATAACCCTACAAATATATATATATATATAGATGTAGATAGGTATCTTCACAACAAGAAGTCCGGGCCCCCAGCGGTTCCAGAGTTCCTCGTCGCTCAACGGCCCGGTCCAGTTTCCGGGAGGCCGCGTGGGCGACGCGGCCTTGGGGGCCTTCCAGGGTTTGGGGTTTAGGGTGGTTTTGGTGCTTGTTTCAGAGTTTCTATCGGGAATTTAGCATCCTTTTTTGTAGACTTGTGACCGGAGTTTCATGGAATTTAGAGCCAGAGCTGTGTAGGGTTTATTACACGATTTATAAGGATTCAACGGATTGTCTATATGTATATCTACATCTAGAAGTGTATCTATATATCTACATATATATATATATATGTATGTATATATATATACATATATATTTATATTTATATCCATAGGTGTATCACTATCTCTATCTATATGTGTATGTACACACAGATAAGGAATGATAAAGATGTAGAATTCCATGCCTTATGTAAACATACCCACGCACTTGTAGTGTGAGATCAACATGATCAGAAGCATCCTCGCCCTGCTCTGCCAAATGCAGCCCGAGTCCTCGAAACCTGGGTGTTTTGTTTTCTATAGCGGCCTTAATTTATATGACAAGGGCTTTCGGGCCGTGGAACTCTGCCGAATCAAGTCAAGGGATAAGATGGTTACCTCTTCAAACCTAGCTGTATTCCGACCCGTGCCTTGGCCACGTCGTTCTGCCGCCTTCTGGGCAGGGCTTCCTGCACCGGCTCGCGGGTGTCGCCTGCACTTCGCTGCCTTGGCGATGCACAACGCGGCGGGGCACAGCAGAGAAACACACCTCTGACTACGACGGGTGCTCCGAACTTCACTCTGAGTGCCCAGCAAGGGTGAGCGCTGCTTGAGTCTCCGTGGACTCCGACGCCGGTCGTGGGGACTTTTGCTGATGTCTTTGCGGTGGCGCTTCCGGCTGTCGTGTCGCTTGCGGTCGCGGTGCCGCACGGCTTGCTGAGCATCGACGCTGTGGCTTCGCCTGTCATTTCGTACAAGCCATGCTTACTCAGTCTTCTGTGGATATCAGGAACAAGCCTTTCCACCTTTTCTTTCAGTGAGTGCATAAGTGTAAGCGACTTTAGCATCCAAAGCTGAAGGTCCTACACCTCCCAAGCCCGAACTGCTGAGCTCGCAGCCCACCCCCCCGGCCGTTGGTTTAGCAGAGTCCATTCGGAATTACACTGGGTATCTAGACAACAACGCGAGTTGATCCGTCAAGAAGAACTGAATGCACCGTATTGTGACAGGAACCCTGTTTCATAAGGTATCTCGAGCGACCTTGTCTCGTCTCTTCCAGTCAGGAGACCTCTCAAAAGTACAGCACAGCAACAACTTGAACTATGAACCCCCCCAAGCCCTGAAAAACCCCACACCCTATATGACCCTCAACCGAAACCCGCGAAACCCCAACCTGTAAACCCTGCCGAGGAAGACACAGATCTCGAAACCCTAGAGCCGTGGAACCTGCAGCCCAAAAACCCTAAACCCTAAACTTGAACCCGGCTTGCCTGTAGAATCGTCAGAGTTTCAGCAATAGGATGCATGTCAAGACCTTTGAACTTGGGGGCCTGGTAGGTTGCCCTGAAACATAAGCAGTATCGATACCGATCAGACCGTAATTCAACATATAAACATAGGATTAAGAATATGATTAAGGATATTACTACGAATAAGAATAAGCATGATACCAAGTGCCAACAGTAGAGTCATATTCATAGCTATTAATATGTTCCTACAACATCCTAAACCCCTGATAAGGGTTTAGAGTTTAAGATAATCTTAGGGTTGAGGAGAGCTTTAAACAAACGGTACCCTACCTAAAACCTGAGAATCCTAAACCCTAATATAAACTAAACCCAAGCGTCCATTCCCGGAACACCCCTTAACCTAACCCCTAAACCTCCAACACCGCACCCACCCAAAAAAATGAAAAGCTATGCCCTTGGCAATGACACTGAAAAACACTGTTCTTCTTTTCATAAACAGACCCTAGAAACCCTAAACCGTGGTGCTGAAGGACAAAAGACTACTAGTAGCAGTAGCAGAGCAGTAGCAGTAGCAGTAGCAGTACCAGTAGCAGTAGCAGCAGCAGCAGCAGTAGCAGTAGCAGGAGCAGCAGCAGCAGCAGCAGCAGCAGTAGTAGCAGTAGCAGTAGCGGTAGCAGTAGCAGTAGCAGTAGCAGTAGCAGTAGCAGTAGCAGTAGCAGTAGCAGTAGCAGTAGCAGTAGCAGTAGCAGTAGCAGTAGCAGGAGCAGGAGCAGGAGCAGGAGCAGGAGCAGCAGCAGCAGCAGCAGCAGTAGCAGTAGCAGTAGCAGTAGCAGTAGCAGTATCAGTAGCAGTAGCAGTAGCAGTAGCAGTAGCAGTAGCAGTAGCAGTAGCAGTAGCAGTAGCAGTAGCAGTAGCAGTAGCAGTAGCAGTAGCAGTAGCAGTAGCAGTAGCAGTAGCAGTAGCAGTAGCAGTAGCAGTAGGAGTAGGAGTAGGAGTAGGAGTAGGAGTAGTAGTAGTAGTAGCAGTAGTAATTGTAGTAGTAGCAGTAGGAGAAGAAGAAAGTAGTAGTGACTAGCTAACTAACTATCTAACTCACTCACTACCTACCTACCGACCTACCTCCAAAACCACCACCACTACCAGGACTATTGCTGCTGCAGCTCCTGTTACTACTTCTGCTTCTACTTCTACTTCTACTTCTACTTCTACTTCTACTTCTACTACTACTACTACTACTACTACTACTACTACTACTACTACTACTACTACTACTACTACTTCCAAAGCTTCCTTTGCCGGCCTCCGCCGGTCCCGGGAAGTCCTCCGACGACTCGGGGCTCGCGGAGGCGCGGGCCTCCGCGACCTGTCGTGCCTGGTGCCTGAGGAATTTTCGAGTTTCGGACATTCAGCATAGTATATCCTATGTAATATGTAGTATATAAGTTATAAGTAGTATGTAGTATACAATAATATAGTAATATAATATTGTGAACAGTATACAGTATACAGTATAGAATATACAGTATAGTATAGTATAGCATAGGGTTTAGGGGGCCCGAAAGCTCTTTTTGACTTAACAAAATAGTCATGACTGCGGAGGCAACCAACATTCTACAGCTTCAAACAGCCCTGGCGCAGATGCTAGTCATAAACACTCGGTCGCTCGGGTACATGCTGGCTCCCTCTTGTTGTGCCGCTTCCCGCTTCCCTGCAGCAGCCCCAATGCTGATACCAATGCCCGATGCTGGGCTGCTACGTATGCGAGCACAGATCCCAACGCCAACGCCAACACCAACACGAAATGTGGTGCGGATAGCGGTCACATACGAACACTCATGCCAGAAGTCGCAGTCGTGCTACTGGCCAACGCCATGAGCACGGCAAACATCATCACCGTGAACTCCGAAGACAGCCACTACTACTGCGACGGCTTGCAGAACTGCCGCCATGACCAACAAACCTGCAGCATTCAAGTCGACTGACAAGCCTGGACTGCCAAACCGCATGTAGGGTACACTAAACTAGAACTACTCCGCTTGGAATTAGAATTCTGTCAGCAGCAAGCCCACCTCAGTGCTCTTTCAAGCATACATCGGCATGTCCTGATCTTACGGCCGTGTTTCCTTTTGGCCTAGTGTACGAGCCTTCATAATTAGAATATGGTTTTGGGGTCTATTCTACTATAGTTACAATAAGGAACCCCGAAAATAGTATAGGTAATTATTTTAGTGTAATGGGCCCCAGAACCCTATTCTAATTATTTAGGCCCCTAGCTTACTAAGAGAACAGCACTCCAAGTGTGGCCTCCACGACTCCGGCTTCGAGCTTCCTCCAGCCTGCAAAAGCAAGGAAGGGGGGGGGGGGGGGAATTCAAAGCAGATAAAGGAGCTCATTCGGTGCTCTTCATTCGGTTTTCTACGGGGGTGTAGTGGCCCTGAACCTGGTCTTAGCTCCAAGGGTTTTGTATGGTTCAATCTTGCTTCTGGCTTGACAAGTTGATGGTGTGTATTTGCCTGCGGTGGCGAACCTTTTCGCCTGCTTGAGGCACGTAGGGTGAGACTGAACAGCATCCACAAATCCCTGCAGCATCGGCCGCAGCACGCATCCGCTTCACCCACTTCTCACTTACAACATAACGCATCCGAACAGACAGACTACGGGACGCGTCGGACGAGAGCATAACCCCCAAAACCCTTCCGGATCACCATGACTCGACGCGGTTTCGCATCAGGTACCCCAAAGCCTAAACCTTTTTGTTTGAGGGGCTCTGGCCTTGGTCCAGGCCTTCGGGTTTCAGTCTCGGCTTCAGGCTCGAAGTTTCGGGGTTCCGGCTTGGGGCTTATGTGGTGGTGCTCATGGTGGTGTTGGCTGGGGACGTCGTGCTGAGGGCCGGTAGAGCCTTGAGGATCTCAACTTAACCCCGAAACTAAACCCTAAATCCTAACCCCTAAACCTTAAACCCTAAACCCTAACCCTAACCCCTAAGCCCTTGCTTGGAGGATCGGGAAAGAAATTTCAGGGGATAAAAACTGCAGGTCAAACCCTCAACCGAGGCCCTGCACCCAGCAAAGCCCTAGAATCCCGAAACCCAGAAACTGAAAAAACCTCAAAACCTTGCTCTTATGAAAACCCCTAAGATACATCAGCAGCATGAAAGTTTTGTCGCACTAAGATGTCTTTGCTTGGCGGAGTACCATGAAGTGCATTTTACGTGGCCTGGCTAACGGAGGAATTTCCATGCCAAAATAAACATATACTATGCTTTTGTTCTGACGGAGGAACTAGTGACGCCCAGGCCTCGCATCGACACTTCGTGAAGGAGTCTATGGGGGGGAAAGGGGTTTGCAAGTACATGTTGACAGACCTACCCGATGCGACGAACTTTCGTCCTGGCGCAGTAGGGGCCTGTCAAACTCGAACAGTGTTGTTCGTTAAAACCTGCATTTCAACCCTCAGAGGCAGCCCGAAGGAATGAGAGTGGCAAAAAACTCAGAGCCTGGCCTTATCGGCCTCGGTGGGGGGCTTGGCGGCTTGACCGGAAGGGACCTGCCAGAGACGAAAGTAGTTCATGGTTGGGATAGGATTTAAAAATGTTGATTTTATTCCTTATAAGGTTTAAGTGCCCATAAAAATGCAAAAAGCTACCCAACTAGGACAAAGGAAAGTCAGGCACTCGACCTCCGGTGGGCCTTTCAAGGCCTTCTACGAGCGGTTCATCGTAAGGTTTCTGCAGCCACAGGTTCTGTCAGGGGCTCGTTGAAGAAGTGTTCCGAAGGGGTCCTTTGAAGAGTATTTGAGGCTTGAGGTTGAGGGAGCTTCGTGACTGCTACACCCCAAACCTTACATCTACGTCTCCGACCCTAAGCCCGAGATCTTAGGTGTTAAAACTTAACAATGGGTGTTTTTGTTCTTTAGGCATGTATGATAGTAGAACCAAGAAAGGAAGCGTCAGGTATAATGCTAATATATGATGCAGGCTTCTGTAGGGTTAAGATAGGAGTGTAAGATTATCGGCATTCCTTTTACCCTATAATTATCACCCTTTGAAACCCTTTAGAGCCACTGGAAGTCTCACGAAAAAAACACAAAGCCCATCATAAAATGGTCTACCCTTACACCCCAAGTAGTCCTTTTAACCCCAATACGCCAGCTGGACGAAGGCGCGGCTCGGGGCAGCATCTGCGATGTCGCAGCAGCCAGGGTTGAAGGCTTCACTTCTTGTTGGTAGATAGGTAGATAGATAGAGAGAGAGAGATGGCTAGAGCGGCTAGATAGGTCGGTAGATAGATAGGTAGATAATATAGATAAGTCGATAAATCGATAGACTGGTAGGTCGATAGACAGATAGACAAATAGACGGGTTAGATAGATTAGGGCTTCATATGTACATGTACATATAAGTTTGTGTGTGTATACAAAAATTTATATATATATATATATATGCATACTTCTGTATATATGGATGTCTCTCTACCTCTCTCTCCCACTCTGTCCATCCGTGTGTCTGTGAACCGATCCATCTCTCTATGCGCCTACCTACCTACAAGCCTGCCTGCCTTCCTGCCTGGCCTCCCTAGCTATCCAACTGCCTACGTGCCTACCTGCCCGCCCATTCCGTCGAGCAATGGATCCTTCTTTCGATGTAAGCCCTCTCTCTGTCTCTCTCTCTTTCTTTCTCATTCTCCGTCTTTCTCTCTCTCTCTCTCTCTCTCTCTCTCTTTCTTTTCTTTCTGCCGGGCATAAGGGTCGCGGTGCGACCCACAGGCCTAGGCCCACCCGACCACCCCTGTTTTATGGAGTGATCGGCTTTTGGGGTACTCCAAAGTTCGGCACTGTACTACCTGGTACGCCCTGAGTTTCCGAGTTGGCAACCCCCCAGAACACTAAAACACAACACAACCCCCGCCTCATCTCCGCGCCCCTATGGCTAGCCTATGCACCAACTCGGTAGGAGGCCAAGGGCTTCCCAGATGCACCGGAACAGCCTCTCTCTCTCTCTCTCTCCCTCTCTCTCTCTCTCTCTCTCTCTCTCTATAACTCTCTCTCTCACTCACTCTCTCTCTCTCTCTCTCTCCCTCTGTCTCTTTCATTTTGTACATATCCAACCATTCATCCACCACTTCACTTCACTTCCACGCTGCAAAGGATGGTCCGTCTGCGAGCGAAGTCGGGACAGAGCTACTGCTCCGGCAACCGCTGTGGATTTACCACATCCCAGAGAGAACTCCGAAAAGAGAAGAGTAGTCACAGTTTGTCGTGACGCTCTTTTGAAACTGTGGCCCCCGGTGCGAACACCCCAAAATCTAAAGCAAGGCCAGTGCTCCTACGGCGAGCGGGTGTAAAAGAAGAGGTAGGCATTCTTACCGCACTCCTCAAGATCAGCAGTGTTAGCTCGCTGCGCCGCTTGATTATCATCAGCTATGTAAGAGTCGTTGTTAAGGAGCACAAGGGTCTTGTAGTGGCCACACACCGTTGACTCTCCTAGGTGGTACGCTACTGCACAGAGATCATAGATCACATGTCCAAAGTCTCCGCCCTGAGCATACACAGGTAATCGAATACTGCGATCCAAACCGATACAATAGTGTTGTTTCTGCGAGACTCCGGACTGTGCATCGTAGACGAACCTATTCGCCTGCAGAACAAGATTGGGAGGGCCCGTCAAAGCAGCATGAATGCAGTCCTGCCTATGCCAAAGATCAACAAGTTGTTGAACCGTAGTCCCGGCTCTCTCCAGCTGTGCGCTGTCTGCAGGCGGGTGCAAAAGTAGGGGGGCAAAACAGCCCCCATCTCGATGTTCCTCGGAGGAGTCCCCCTCGACCGAGGCCCACGTAAGCCCTATCACATCCGCAAGACTTGGGCACTGCCCCACAAGGTGCTGCAGGAATTCAGCAGCATCATGTTGTGCCGTCGGCCTTTGCCAACCCTTCATGATAGCTCGCCAAAAGGGATTCTTCCAGATATGATACACACCCCTATGATGAAGAGCTCCATTGAGGATGGTTTGAAGGAGGGGAGGAAAGAATCCCGCGAGCCCCCCGTTGTCGTAGGACAACCTGAGCAGCCCTCTCAGCACAGCATTCCCGTAGCAGTAGTTGTGCTCGTTGCCCAAACGCAAGTTCAAGACCTGTTGCCCCAAGTGGACTTTGCCTGCATCGAAGCCAGTCGTTGAGGTAAGGGGCCTCGTTGAAGGCGCTCCGGGCGCACATTCACTCCCGCTGCCAGCCAGATTGCCGACCCGCAGAGATCCCTGAGTAGTCCCCAGGCTTTGTTCGCTGAGGGGGTTCTCATTCCGAAGTCCAGAAGCATCGGCAGCGTTGCCGACTCCACCTCCTTCGTCATCGGCCTCGTCGCGTGGAAGCGGTTCACCACCAGGGGCTCCTTGCACAAGATCACAAGCTCCATGACCATGCCGAGGGCCTTCTTGATCTCGATCTGGGTCCCCTCGGTGTCGATCACGTGCTTCTTGGCCTCGTAGTCCCACTTCATCCGGTTGAGCTTGGTCGCATCGGCCGTGATCCAACCCAAACTGATGGCCGTGGCTTTGGAGGCTTCGGTATTCATCAGCTGCTCGAAACGTGAAGCCACCGCCGTGAGGAGGGCCTGGCACAGTACCACTCGCATCGGCGACTCCAGTTTCTCCGGTGATTTCTCCTTGGTCTCCTTCCAGGCCACACCCGTGTCGTAGAGCGCCTTCGCCAAGTTGCCCTCCATGTCCGTCCGGATGAAGACCATGTAGGAGCTGTCCAGCCTGAGGATCGAGAGCTGATTGTCGTGGCGAAGGAGAAGGGTCGTGAGGAGGTCGACCCGTGATCGGAGGTACTGAAGGTACTGGGTCTCCCGATGGTTCGTGGACCATGTCTCCTCCTCGTACCATTCCTCCTGGGCTTGATCTTGTCTCCATGGAGCTTGGCGTTGCTTGCCCTTGCCGTTGCCCTTGGATGAAGGCTGCCTTGAGGTCCGCTGTGGTGGTCGTTGGGAGGGACCTTTTCCTAGGTCTCCCGAGCCTTTGTTGCTTTGTCGCTGCCACTTCTGTGGTCGGTCCGAGTCCAGCTTGGGCTCGCCATCCTCCTGAAGGTCGTTCCCCATCGAGGCATCGCGCGGTTCCTGAGGGGCCCCTTGGCTCAGGACGGAAGGCAGGCCAACGCTGCCCTTGGGGGCCAGCGACTCCATCATCCGAAGCTCCCCCGTGGCCTCCTTGAGTCGTTGCTGATCCGTCTCCGGGACCATAGCTGCCTCTAGCAGAGGCGGGAGGGTCATGATCAGGTTCGCCAAGTGGCCTACCTCGAGCAAGCCTGGTGAACAAGAAGGCTCCGTGGAAGAGGGCGACACACGATCGGAGATGTGCGTCTCTGCGACTGAAAATTTCGCCACAGAACCTGCAAGGACTGACAATGCCTAGTTTGCTCTGCTGCACGAATGGCACGCACTGGTCAATTTGGGGTTTCAGCTCAGGATGTTTTGCCAGCATGTGGCGCTTGACATATTGCGGGCGGATCGAACGGTGGAAGCACTCGACACAATGATGAAGGCATCTCCGAACTTCTTCATGGGCCGCAAGGTCAAGCCAGCTACCGTGGCCAGCCAGATCAACGATGGTCGAATTTCCAATCAGGGCTTCAGAGAGCGTCGCCAAAGTGTCCCCCGGCTGTGCAGAAGAGTAGATTTGACGTAGGGTGGGGCAGCTCTGAGAATTAATGTGATAATGGAAATTCGGCCAATTCTGAAATTGCTTGTCACAGTGCTTGCACCAAGGGAGGCCGTTCTTGGCATGTTCCATATGCGAAGTCCGCGCATGTTGCTTAACCTCGTGTTGCCTGTCCTGTTTGGCTTCAGCAGCTAGGTGCTGTAAGTACACGTGGCGTTTCATGGTAGCCTGGGAGCTAAACTGCTGACCACACTCCGGACAGGCAAACACCTCAGCAACAACCTGGTCTACCGGTATAACCCTAGCTGGCCCTAGTTCAGAGAAGCTCGGCTCAGCCAGTTGAACTTGGCTGAGGAGAACAGCACGCCATTGGAGCTGAGCCTCTGATGGTTGCAGGAGGGGGCCTAGGGTAGGGTCCAGTCGCTGACGGTGCAAGATGGCCTGGTGAAGCCTTTCCAGAGGTCGCACAATTTGCAGCCTCTGTGTGAAATCACGGTTCGTCTCATGTGTCCACATGCTATGTGATTGCGCCACTGTGCGAGCCTGCTGCGTGATCATGCTGCACACATGTGCAGCCTCAGTAGGTGTGAGCCCCGTACAGTCGAGGCCGTGGAGCAGGCATGCTGGGAGGCAAGCATGCCAGAGTCGCAGTCGCAACGCTTGAGGAACAGCCTTGCAGCGAAGGATCGGGCGAAGTCGACTGAACTGGCCTGTGGCCAATGCAACTCTGTGCTTCAGAGTGTCCGGACCCATGCGGCGATAGCCGATGACCGCACCCAGATATACATGTTGTTGCACTATCCTAAGGTCAACGTGCTTACCCTCGATTTGGAACCTCATGTATAGGGCATCCTTGATTTGCACTGTGTATTTGCGAAGGGCTTGATGGGCCTTTGGGCCACGGAGCTCCACCAGGATGACAGTCTTGGCGGTGCTGACCTCAAGACCGTTGGCACGGAGGTGTGCAAGGACTTGACGAATTTTGCGGTAGGCCTCCTCCAGGGCACGGCCCGACTTGATGATCCACTTGAACAAAAAGTCGTCCGCGTAAACTGTGGTGGAGCGGGCTTTCTCTGCGAAATCCATGCCAGGGAGCTGCTTAAGGAGCCAGCCGGACACCAGGGCCCACAACACAGGTGATAGTCCACATCCTTGTCTTAGTCCAGTGTGCAATGGTGCATCCTGCTGACATTGGTGATGTGAGACTCGAATGCAAGCCTGATTATGCACCGCAAGGATAACATCAGTCAAGGCCTGCGGGACTCCCGCGTCGCTTAGGGCACTATGAAGCATTTGTCTACTGACACAATCATAGGCCTTCGAGATGTCGAGCGACAACATGATGCCGCCTTCAACCTGGTGGTGCTTGATGGTCTGAGTGCCGGCATACGGGTTCCGACTGTGACTCGCCAGGAGGGCCTTCACCTCAGAGCAGTGGGAGGCCACCCTTTCCAAAGCCTGCTGAAGAGACCTGTGCGGGAGGTATGCGAATTGGCTGATGTCCGTGAGGTAGCTGGAGGCGTGAGGTCGCAACCTGTCTGCCAGGGTTGCCGCCAGTAGTTTGGCCATCGGAGCCAGGAGGCAAATAGGCCTCAATTGGTCAACGCTGGTCAGGGCCTTCCCAGGTTTTGGCAAAAGAACCAATTCACTGATACACCACGCCCGCGGGAGGATCAGAGTGCCAGGTTGGCAGACATGATTGAATTGCTGTGTCACCAGAGGTACGAGCCTCAGCTGAAGGGCCTTCCAGACTGCAGCAGGAGCAGAGGAGCTGGGCATGGCTTTGCCTGGCGCAAGTCGGCGGATCGCCCTATGGATTTCCTCCGGCATGAAGTGTAGAGCCTCGCTGAGGTAGTCCGGAGATGGAGTGGGCCCTCCATAGAGCTTCCTGAAGTATGCAAGGATGTCCCGAAACTCTTCTTCATGTGTCTGGACAGCTCCGCTCTTAGTCCTCAGCTGAAGCCGCCGTCTTCGAGCTTTGGGTGCGAACTGCTTGGCTGCCTGGTACACATTGTCAGCTTCTACAGCAGCCGCAACCTGTGCAACTTTCCGCTGTCGACCTCGACGGCGGAGTTCACGCTGAGTTTTCTGCAACAGACTCACCTGTCTCCAGCCATGCCACATATTAACGAGAAACACCTCCGGCTGGGCCTGAGCAACATAGCGGGCCTGTTGCTTCAGTCGATCGCGGATGAGCCAAAGTTGCCTGACTAGGTGGGTGGTGGCCATCTCATCAGCAGCTAAGGTAGCTAGGGCAGTGCTGGTAGCCTCAGGTGTTGGTGTCGCCTTTGCCCTGGCGAGCTGTGTCCAGCTGTGGGCAAGAGCAGCATCCAAGTCAAGTAGAGGGTCATGCTGGCCTTCTTCTTGAAGGTGAGAAGTCTCCCTCCAGAGTGTGGCCACCTGGTCTGGATCAGCAAGCATGCGTTGGGCCTTGTTGGGGATAACACGAGTCGGCCTGCCCGGTTTGCCCTTTGGGAGCAGCGGGGCCGGTATGGTGCCCGAGACCAAAAGATGCCTGCACCCACTATGTGGGATAAAACGCGCATCAGTGGGGCGTGTGCGTCTGGCCTCCTGGTCGCACATGTTGTCCCGGACAATGATGTAGTCAATCTGAGTGCCTAGGGTGTCTGCGCCCGCAGAGGGGGGCAAGTAGGTTCGTGCGGGACAGCCCGAAGTAGACCACGTATTCAGAGCCCGGCCTCCAACTTGTCGAAGCAAGGTCTGGAAGGTCTCACGGTCCTTTTGCGGGGGATCCTTTGCCGAGGCGAGGCCTGGGCCGCAGTATGGAAGCTCCTGTTGGAGAGGCGTATTAAAATCGCCCAGCATGAGAAAGCCGTGCCTGAGCGGGATGGTAGCCGCCCATTGCGACATCTTCCGCCACAGCTTGTCACGTTGCTGCACCAGCTGCTCGGCCTTGTGGGACGGGGCCAATGATGCCCGGCTGGGGTTCCATGCGATCTGATAGACACAAAGAATGTCGAGCGGGACCTGGAGCTGCAGTCTGATGTGCAACAAGCGACCAGCCTGAAGCACATTGTACCGAATGTCATCAGCTCCAAGCAGTGAGGCCCGAATGAGACATAGGACTCCGGCTTTCTCTTTGCTGCCAGTATGGACAGCATGCCATTGTGGAGCCTTCGGCAGGTTGGGGTCTCTTCTAGTCGTGAACTCAGAGTCCTCACGCCAGGCTGTTTCGACGATACACATAACATCGACCGGTCTGTTGGCCTGATCTTCTCGGCAGAGCCACTGTAGTACTTCCTGATAAGCTACGGTGTGGAGCCCCCCCGAGTTCCAACCACGCGAAGACGTCTACCCAACCTTTGATGTAGGGTCTTAGAGTCTGACTGTGGAGGCCGCGGTCCACGATGTGAGGGTGCTTCGTGTACATGGCCTTGAGTCAGGGTGCGAAGATGCACTCGGCGTCCTCTGTACCACGTATGGAGATCGGCGTTCCTGGACGCCCTGGTGATGGCTCGCTGCAAGGCCCTCTTCTTCGGAGTCGCCCTGGATGAAACATGAAGAGAGGAGCTGCCGTGGCTGAGATCACCACGCTTCGCCTCCTCGTGCGAGATATGAGCAATGGATGGTGCTCCCGGACTCCCTTGGTGTGTGGGGAGTCCAACCCTCGCATCTGCCGCCCTAGTTGCTGTGCTTAAAGTGGGAAGGTAGATGAGACACAGAACCTGAAGTAGTGCTCTACACCATTGACCATAGCGGCGGCTCTGGGACTTGGGACCCAGACGGCTGTGTGCTGGAGCGGGCTGTCGTGCGGGAGGTCGTGCCAGGTTGGCCCTCAGGTGGAAGACACACATGCTTCCCAGCTGAAGGGCTCCGTGAAGGTAGGTCGACGTGCTGAGGTAGAAACCCGCAATGAAGACGAGAAGGTGCACCAAGGCCTGTACAACACGGAAGTTTGAGGGCGTACGGGAGAGCTCTGCGTGTGCCCGACCTGTCGGCTGATTCGTGAGCCTCTTGGGCCAAGAGGTGGCCTCTGCATCCAGTGTGACTGACCTGATCACCAAGGGCAGCTGCTGGAGTAGATCCAACCACTGGCATGCTGCTCCGGACGAGGCTCGCACCGTGGTACACAAGCGGGATGCAGTAGAGTACCTGGCCGGCATCAGACTCTTCAATGTTGTTGGCAAAGACAGTGACAGTGGCAAAGGCAGTGATGCATCAGACGGCAATGCTGTGGAAGTTCTTTTCCGGACCATATGCCAGAGCCCAGGCGTTCGAACTAGCAGAGTGGCTCCTGTATGCCAGTGCGAAAGCGTCCGGTAGGCTGTCGCCTTTTTTGGCGGTAGCAGGCCCTTGATCAAAAGTAAGAATCCACGGCATCCACGGCAGAGGCCCAAAATGCACTCCAACATGCAAAGCCTACACTGCCTGGCCATGTGAGGCTCGGGCTCAGCAATCCTACAGGTACGCCCCTATTCACTGGAGTCCCGGCGGCGCCTGGGGTCAAGAGAGCGGGTGGGAAGGTGAGGTCTAAACCACAAGGAACCGAAAGGGTGAGAAACCCAATGCGAACACGGCAGATCATGGACCGTAGTGACTGGGGCCCTCGCTTGCGGTTGGCCGTGGCCTTCCGTTTGCTCTTCGGCTTGGGAGTGGCGGTGCTGTGCATCATGGTGCTCGGCTCCCCATGTGTCATGACCACTGTGGCCGTGAGTGTAGGGGCCGTGGTAGCGGAGCCAGTGGTAGCGGAGCCTGCAAGTCCTGAGAGCAGTCCTGGATCAGGCGGTGCCGTAGACGCCGCTGAGATAGTGGACAGCCTATCGGCAGATCGATCTGGGCCGCACGTGGTTGTGGCCCCCTCGGAATCTGACATGGCATCCAGTGCAGCGAGCACGCCATCTGCCCTGAGGACATCAGCAACCGTCCTAGCCTCAGCTGGTGAGAGGCGACCCCCCAGTGGGGCCTCCGACTCGATGAGCTCCAAGTCCTCGGCATCATCGGCAAGTACCACCGTCCACGGGTGGAATGCCTCATCCGGTCGCATTCTGGAGATCCTGATGGACAACTGCTGCGCCGCTTCCGCCCCGGGCTCCACAATGGTCAGTGCCATCCGAGTACTGCGGCCAGCTTCACCCCAGACCTGAGCAACAGCCTGGGAGAGGCGACTCGAGAGGTTCATCTCCTCGTGTTGCCACTGCACGAGGCCCTCGTGGGGGCGAGCCAGGCCGAGGAACGTGCACCGAGCCCGATCCGGAGCTCGCCACCTGGAAGTCGGACTCATCGGAGCCAGAGCCAGCGCCGCCTCTTGTGCCAACTGGCTCGCCGTTCTCCCTGGCCATGTTGCCCTTGGCTGCAGGGTTGCTAGGGCATCCTGGAGCCGGCTGTGCCTTCGGAAAATGTCGAAACAATCGTCGAGGTAAGCAGCTGAGGCACCTACATGCTACCATGAGTATCACTGCGCCCTGGTGAACATGACAAGGGCACTGAATCACATCTGGTGGTCGCAGGTTGGCTCGGACGAACACCTGTGGGTCGATGCTGCACAGCCAGGGTAGCAAGTGTCGCGGCAGGCTACACAGAATGATCCCCAAAACAATCCCCGTGGGAAAACTAAACCGAAGGGCCGCCTCGAGAGGGGGCGTTGGGCAGGAAAAGCCAGTTGCTTGCAGCTTCCAGGCTCCACACCAAGCTCGTTGCAATTCTATGCACAGGTGCCGAAGCCCCTTCTGGGAACTAGTCCATGAGCTAGTCCATGAGATCCAGTTCTGGGTGTTGGCGAATGCAAAGTACAGGAACCATGGCCGAACAGAACTCGAGATCCAGCAAGCTAATATCCCAAAGTACTGCCATGCGTTGAGGAGCTCGGAGCAGAAACCACGCTTCATACAGAATGCAGAAGGCAGAGGCAGATTCCCAACGTAAGTCGCAGCGTCGCCTGAGTGCCATTTGTACCCGTATGCTTTGCTGCTGCCACATGTGAAGAAACAGCTGCTGTTCCACGGCGGCTCTAACTCTGTTTCCCAGTGGATCGATCTCGTAGAAGCGACGGGGCTGCTTGTTTGACCCATGCACAGCAACTTCTTCCATGGCTGCCATGGCTTGAGGCTTCGTTGCCAGGGGGGCCTTCTCAAGCTATCCCAGTCAAGTTCCGAAGGGTTCAGGATTAAACCGCCCTGCGAACCCGACAACAAAACCAGCAGGAGAAGAGGCACCCCGGGCGTCCAGATGGGCCAGCTCTTGGGCCCTTCGGGCATTAGCCCTTCCCGTCACGACGTCCAGTCGTAGCTCTCAGCCGAGATGCTTATTCATCCACCAATACTTACATACAGACATACGTACAGGCAGACACACAGGCAGGAAGGCAAACACACCGGCAGGCAGACAGACCGGCAGACAGACAGCCACACTGACGGACAGACGGACAATCACACAGACAGACAGGCCCATGCATACATAAATACAGAAATACTACATACGTGCAGACGTACACGCGTACGTACCGTACATACCTACATACCTGCAACTCCCTTCGCAAACTCTCATAAATGCTCAGAGAGCCCTCTAAGAAACCCTTCCACAAACCGTTGAGCCCCCCGCCCTAAACCCTAACCATCCCTAACCCCAAACCCCTACACCCCCTGAACCCCTAAAAGCCCTAAAACCCCTAAAAGCCCTAAAAGCCCACATGACTCAGGCCTGCGGGCTCCCGAAAGCGCTTTCGAGGGCCGAGCTACCGAAGACCGGGCTCCCGAAGATTGGGCGCGAGGCCTCTTTTGGGGCTTTGGGGCCTTTAGGTGTTAGGGCCTTTAGGGCCTTTATGGCTTTAGGGCTTTAGGGATTTTAGGGTTTAAGGATGTAGGGCCTTGAAATCAAGGACGTGGGGATGTAATGCTCCATAGCTCAACTAACGAGCATCTTCTTGAACAGGCAGTCCCTGCGTTGGTGGGGATTTTGGAGTCTCCAGGCATCCAAATCCGAAACCATTGTTTAAGCTTTGTTTTCGGTTCCGCACCAAGACTACCACATTCAACCCAAAGCCCTAAACCCTACGTCCAAACCCCTAAACTTTAAATCCTGCAAGTCTGCAAACTTGAACCCTACAGCCTTCAACCCTCGTATAGGAGCCTTAACAGCTAGAATGAGCTTGTTGTGGAAGAGGGGTATGCACCACTGTTCAGGCTTCTACATAGTAACCGTGATAGAAACTTGTATCGCAACCCTTCAGGCAGCCCATTTAAAGGGACCCTGTTCTAATTATTAAGGCCCCCATCTTACACCTGGCAGATGCGTGACCGGGCCTGTCTGGCGCTGGGCTCCTCGCGATGCCAGCGATCGAGGATTTGAGGGCTTAGGGTTGAGTGTTTAATGGCTTTTTTACATCACCAGGACAAAAGTTTCGACATACGGAGGATATTATCCAAATACATGAACATGTGCCGCGGAGAAGCGGAGAGGCCAAAAGTCCGTTTTACGTGGCCAGCGTGGCGGAGTAGTTAATTCCCCGGAATAAAAATATACTACTATAATGTTCTCGGCGGAGAGTCTTCGGGATCTTGTGGAGGAGTCTAGGGGGGAAAAGGGGTGGCACTGCTACATATGTTGAGTTGAAGATAGTGTGGCGAACTTTCGTCCTGCGGTAGTATCAGGGTTTCATGAGGAATGTCTACGGGCTTGACAGGGCTGCATAAGAAGAGGCTTTTCAGAGGCTTTTCGGCTAAGCTTCAGTGTTCATGGCTTCGGAAGGTTTGCGGGTTTTGCTGCCCTTGCTCTTATTGTGATCTTGAACACTACGCCTTCTCCTAGTAAAACATGTCCTTGTAGTCGCTGCGGTCCCTGCTGAAGTCCTTGCCGTAGTCCCTGCTGTAATCCTTGCTGTGGTCGTCGCCGTAGTTCTGGTTCTTGCTGGCGTCGTTGGTGTAGTTGTTGTCGTGGCCGTTGTTGTTGCGAATGTTGTAGTCTTTGCTGTAGTCCTTGTTGCTGTCTTTCCCGTAGTCCCGGCTGTAGTCCTTATTGTAGTCTTTGCTGTAGTCCTTGTTGTAGTCCTTGCCGTAATCTCTGCCGCTGCCCCCATAGCTCTTGCTGCTGTCAGTGCGATAGTCTTTGCTGTAGCTTGAGCCGTAGTCTTTGCCGTAGTCGTTGCGCTGGTCTTTGCCAAAGTCTTTGCCCACCGTCCCCAGGAACGGCATGTGCAACACGCAGCCATAAGCGCAGTGGAACCTGAGCATGGAGCAGAAGGCCAAAGCAAGAGCAACCGGGGCAAAACAAAATTTCTGGTGAGGCACAACATTGCCACACTATAGCTCCGGATCATCTACCGTCAAGAAGAACAATCTGTCACAGCCGAGCGAGACCTCATGTCCCCCTCCTACCCTTATCCGAATAGGCCTCTTAGGGGTAATTAGTGGCCTTAAGGCTTCGGGGCTGCAGGGCTATGAAGCCTAGACCTACACAAGCCGTATAAACACCCTACAGAAAGCCACCAAGGAATCCGTATAAGTTCGCTCCTCGTGACTCCCAAAGTCCGGAAGGGCAGTGACAAGTTAACTTTGGGAGTTTATACGGATTATATAGGGATTGCATTGGAATATGTAGGGAGATTTAGGGACTATATTGTGATTTTTGTTGGATTGTACTGGGATTTTGCTGGGATTCTAGTGCCCCCGAAAAAAAGGAAGGTTGAAGGTCGCTTACTCTACGACTCAGCGCCCCGCTGCGAGCAGGAAGGCTTCCTGGGGCCTCGGCGCTCGAAGTTCGGGTTTTCCGATGTTGATCCACAACGAGGGGGTTTAAGGGTTTTTCGAGGACTCCTTTCCCGGATTCCTTCAAGGGCTCCTCTGGCAGTTCCTTTTGGGGTTCGTTGTATGGAGGGTTTGGCGTCCAGGGCTTCAGGGTTTGGGGGCTCGGCGGTAATGTGTTGCTTGGGTTTTACAGGAGCGCAATGGGGATTTTGATAGGGGTCCTATACCAATTTGCAAGGGTTTTATAGAGGTGTTAGGGCTGCTAGAGGGCATTCCATAAGATTTCATGAGGGTGCTCCTGAGTTAGTCATCCCGGCACCACAACATCTAGCGTAGACATACCAGAGCCTTTGTATTCCCACGCTTAGGGACAGTTATTGCAAGGGGGCTGGCCCAACCTATGCCCAAAACCGCGAACCAACCCGAACCCGAAAACCGTAAAGCCTCAAACCCTGTAGTGTCCAGCAGATAAAGCTTAGAGCTCCAAGCCGGCATTCGACGCCCCAGCTTGGCAGAAACAAAACTAGTCAAAATAAATACAAGAATATTACGAGCACGTCCAACAAGAATGCCAATAGTAGCCGCAACGGCAATGATAAGCGAGAAACGGTGAAACTGGAAAATAACAACAACCGTAGCAATACAAACCTTACTATAAATATAGTATAATGGGCTCCAAAACCCTATTCTAATTATGAAGGCCCCTAAACGTGAAGACTCAGGAGGGCGAAGGGGCTTTGGCATCAGGGATTCGTGTGGTCTTGGGTTTTGGTGTCTCGAGCTGTCGCTTTGCAGGCTTTTGGTTTAGGGTGTTTGCCTTTTGTTTCAGGGTCTGAGTTTTGGGAGGATGTGCTCGACTTCGTAAGCATCAAGATTCATTCAACGAAGTAGCAATTGCTTATCTATCTAACTAACAGTGTATAGCACAACTCTATGTCTGGATGTCTAGACACAGAAGGAGAGTATGTGCGTGCACGATTACTTCGTGCATCTATGACCTATGTATGGATAATGCGCAGTTTCTCCCTCTATTCTAAGCCCTGTTTTGAGTCCAAAAACACCTTCAAGTAGAACTCAGAACCTTCAAAATAAAGCAGCAAGTTGTCTTGCACGAGTTGATTAGAGGAATAAAAGACTCTGGTGACCATGAGCGGAGGGTGTCGCCCCTGAACCCTGAACCGTACACCCCTTCACAGTATCTTCTGGAGATCTCACAAGCCCGCACCTCAACCCTCACACACCCTAAGCCCTAAAACCAAATAGCCAACCCAGAACCCAAACCTCGGGGCCAGGCAGACCTTGAACCTGGACTCCAGATCTCGAAGGAGTTGGCCTGCGCAGACAGCTTTACAGGTGTCGGGTTGGGTTTTTTGGGTCTGGCAAGGGCTTCTCCACAACGACACCGACGACCACGACGACCGTCATCATCACCACTAGTAGCTAGCGCATTAAAACCTACTCACACTAGCACTACCACTACGACGACGATGACGACGAAGGGAGCGACGACGACTGCGACTGCAACTACGGCTACGACTCAGACGACGACGACCAGGACGACGACCACCTATTGCTGTGCTGGTCCTGCTCCTGCTCCTGCTCCTGACACTGTTGCTGCGGAGTAGTAGCAGTGGCAATAGTTGAGCAGTGGTATAGTAGACAGTCACTGCTGTTACGAAGAAAACAGCACCATCTTCTTTGCATTACTGTCAGCTCGCATGAAAATTCATCTTCTACTCAAAGGCTGCAATTTAACTTTGCTGAACATTGAGAAGTCAATCCACCGGACCGGCACCTGGCGGACCGAAGCTGTTCTGCTCCACGCGCAGCCATAACCTGTATAGGCTCCCTCTTAATAAGTTTTACGGGTCGCTTCGCGGAAAGCCAATTATGGGTGCCAGGGTTTGGATAGTATTGCCAAGCATGCTTGAGGCGGCTTCCGTTCTCAGGTGACCACCCAGACCCTTGGCACGCACCATGGGTGATGCAAGACTGGCCCCAACAACAACATGCATACGACCCTCTCGAAACGAAACAAGACAGCAGCCGCAGGCAACTCAGTACAATCGCACTGAAGCTGCTTGGCCAGCAATGAGGCTTTGGCGGCAGCTCAAATCCGCGACGATGCTGAGTGGCCTGGGTACGGCAGAGGCCGAAATTACTCGCACGACGTGCGTCAACACCGCGATGCTTGAGCTCGGCTTCTAGCGACTGAAGCCACATCCCCCAAAGCCAGTGCGAGGGAACAAACTACTTGCTCCTTCGGCGTCTTAGTATTCAGAGTTTTGGGTTTGGGCTCTCTTGTTCGCTTTGCGATTCTAGGATGCGTGGTCTGCGCTTTACGGTGTAGAGGGATCACTTGTCGCAACGACAGAAGCTGAGGCCGGAAGCATGGTATCAGCCAGCAACTTACAAATTAGAATAGGGTATTTGGGGCCCATTATACTAAAGCTCTCGTAAGGAGCCCCTAGAATAGCATAGGCAAATATTTACGCCCTTATATTATGTCATATAATATGAATTTACTCGCAATCCTCAGCAGCCCCATACACACTCGCCGAAACTCATGTATAAACTGCTAACTGCTAAATATCAAGAACCACAAAGAACAGTCGGAGCAGCTCGAACCCGGAGGTTCTACGCCTCTACGCAGACAGCGCAGGAAGCAATGATAGCACCAAAAGTCAAACCAAAAATGCAGCAGAAATCAGTTCACACCTGAAGATGCTACAAGAATCGGGAATATGTAGCGAACATACAGTCCGATAGAACCGAAACACTGAACCTGAAAACCCTAAATAGTTGAGCCCTAATTTCCTTGTGATGAAGCTCTTATGCGACGCTTACAGACCCCAAAACAAGAGCAAGGGCCCTCTACCAAATGTAAGGCGGGTGCACAGTCCGCCAAGTCAATGACGCAGTTGTACGACCTTACTGCGAGCTTCCGAAAGCGTCAGCGACTATTTTGTCGTTGGAGGTACTTCGGCACATCATCCTAGGGTTTCAAGAGTGTCCTAGAGTGTTTACGTAGGTGTACTGCCCTACTCTGATGTATATGAATACAAAGTATAGGGTTTAGGATGTAAGACATGTGCAGTTCGGGTTGGCCAGTGCCAGAGCCTGGGCCGACAACACGTCAGCCTTCAACCTCCAACTTCAAGCCACATCCTGAAAGACCGGAGGAGCCAGCCCGGACCCAGATCCGTACCAACGAAAATGCCATTAGAACGCAGATAAACATAATCATGGCGCGTCCTGACAAAAAATAACAATTTATCAGCTCAAGGCTGCGGGTACTCAGGCGTGGACAAGCAGTTGTGTGACCTGCCGTAGCGATCCGGGGCTGCAGATGCGCTCATTTTCCGTTGATCCAAGAATAACTTGTAGCTACCGGTCAGTTAAGATCAAGCTTCTTATACAATTGGCCGCAGTATCAGCTTCTTTGGGAAAGTTGTTATGATTCTGGGGTCTTCTCCAGTTTTGCCATTCTAGGTGTCTTAAAAGTTATTCCCGTCAGGTTTTCCCTTCGTGGCGAGTAGCCCCTTAATCATAGGCGACGGGAATTCTAAAGCAGGGCTTCTTACTCCCTGGGCTCTTAGACAGGTCGACGTGTAGGGTTTGGAGTTTAGGGTTTAGGCTTTGGAGCTTCATGAGGCTCAGAGGCTCAGAGTGTGGCGTAGGGAGCTCGATAATGCTGTAGGCCTCTCGGTTCGTGGTTGACTTGTCAACAACAAAACCCTGGACCCTAAAGGCATGCACGAGGCAACGCAGCCGGGGGCACAGGTGGATTTCGCGAAGCTCTGCACAGTGCTTAAGCCTGGGGATCTCACTTGAGGATGCTCACTGCTTTGCTTTCTACCACAGCCCTTATCGTGTGTTGTCTAGGGGATCTAGAACGCATTTGGGCCTTACTATCGGGGTTCATCATTCGCTCAGCTACCTACGTAGCCAGGCTGATATATGATATATATATATATATATATATATATACGTACCAGATGCGGAAACTGATCATAGAGAGCGAGTGCGAGAGAGACAGAGAGAGCAAACAAAACAAGGCAGCAGCTGCATGTTCATGTATTTGTGTTGATGTAAATTTGACTGTACTTAACGATGCATCAATCGTGTACTCATGTCGGACAACGAGAACACCCAACCCTGGTCTGTGAAGCCAGGACGAGTCAGGGCGATGGCTTCGGCTTGTGTACTTTGCGGAATAGCACATACCATTGCCAATGATAAGAGTAACATTTCCAATCCTAAGGCCCGCAGCGCTAGACCCCAAACCCCTCAACTCAGAACCTTAAACTCCTCCACCTCCAGCCCTAAAACCATGGATCTTACAGTCAAGACTCGCGCCTCCGTTGTGACATCTCGTCCGTTGCACCTGTACATCCCTCCCGGTAAAACCGTAGAAAAGCCTTGTATGACCACAGGAAAATAAAGAGCCCCTAAACCTCGAAACGCTGCACCCGGCAGACCCTCTAAACCGAACCCAAAATCCTGAATGAACCCTAAAATCCCCAAACCCTAAACGCCAAACCTTTCACACCCTAAGGCCTACAGGCCCTTCTCTCAACTAGGCTCCACACAGCTCCGAAAAGTGAGGGACGCAGCCCTCATCGATGCGGTTGCGGAACAGCTTGAGCACTTTGAGCTGCCTGACGCATCGCCATAGTTGCAAGGCCCGAAAGATGCTGTGAACACCGGAAAGCCGGAAATCCTTAACCCCACAACCCTAAATAAGGGTAACGAAAGCATAAACCCACCTTGAGCCCTGAACCCTCGACCCTAATCCCTAAACCTTACACTAACCTCAAACCCTGCCCGTATGGTAACGCTCCAAGTATCGTCATCGCAACTGTATAGAAACCCTTAAAAGGTGAAACCCGCAGAAACCTGCGGCTTCTGCGGCATATCTCTGCGACCTCACGGAAGGCTCAATTCAAAGATCTTCTGGGGCTTGAAGGGCTTGGGAGCTTGAGTTTAGGTTTAGGGTACTTGGGGCTTTCTAGGCGGTCATTTCGGGACACAGGGCTGGTCTAGGGTTTATAAGACTCGAGAGGTTTAGGACTTAAGAGAGTCAGGCCTTGGGTTTAAGGCTTAGGGCTTCGGTTGAGCTCCGGGCTTTACGGCTCTGACGATTAAGGCCAAGGCGTGAAGAGTCTATCCAGTTTCAGATTCAGGACTCGGCAAGTATTCAGAGCCTTGTTCATGACAGCAGAAAGGCACAACCAAAGACCACCGGGGTGGTTGTCAAAATTATGGTCCCTATTTGGGTCCCTAGTATAATACGGCACCTATTATTTAGGGTACCCAAAAAGGGACCCTAATTTTGACAACTTCCCACCGAACAGATCCTTCCGTCTGTTGTCGCCAAAGCTCGAACCTAAACACACAAACGCTAGGCCCAAAAATCCCGGCGAACACCCAAATCTTCCAACCCGTGAACCCTGAAATCTTGGGAAAACTAAACAGTAAAATCCCGAAAGGCCAATCCTGGAGGCCTAAAACAGGGGGAATCTTGGGGCTTCGAGCTTGCGGCGGGCACACAGTGTGCGCCGCGAGTGGACTTCTGTAGCCGCGTCAGCATCTAGTCCGCCCACAATATTCTCGAAGGTTATATTCACCCTTGCTCTTTGCTTCCACAGGGGTCTGTCTGCATAGAATGAACACACTTCACAGCAACCACAACGTTTGCTGAGTTGTCGGTCCTCGCAGCCTGTGCCGGCCACTGGACAGAAGCAAGGCTTTCTGGTTGGCAACCTGCCCTCGTGTCCTGTCGCTCGAAATGAAGCGTGGAAGCAAGCGGCCTGAGCTTTGGAGGAAGGCGCTCGGATGCCCCACAGATGGGGTCGATCTTGTAGCAACAAGAAATGTGCTGCTTGAGGCGTCCCCGGTAGGCCGGGGAGGCTTTACCCTCCCTCGCTGTTCCGTCGAGACGCTCGGTCAGGTCTCGGCCAATATAACCTCCCGAAAACCCGAACCTGAGTGTTCATTTTCCTCTGGAAACCCTAAATTCTAAACTTAAGTCCCAAACGATGTAGTCCGAGTACTTGCAGAAACCCACGCATCTGCACATTGAGGAATACACCTTGAAGAGGGTTTGAGGTCTAGGGCTTTGGACTTTGGGGCTGCAAAGCATCTTGGAAAGTAGACAGGGTCGGGTTCAGGATATTGGTCTTCGGGGTTTACAGGAGGTTTTTTTCCGCCTAGCAGCTCAGATCAGCAGAATCCACTGTTGTGGAAGGCAACTGCATGACTCTATGGCCCCCTCACGCTTGTAGGACAGGACATCACATCATTCTTCTTCCTTCACTACCTCGCCCTCAGAGCCTTTGGTGCCCCCTGTTACAGGAGGTTTTGTGCTTAGGGTTTAAGGGGTAATACAAGGGGGCTGAGTCATCGGAAAAGGACGTTGTGTATGTTACACTTAGCTACAAAAGGAACTATACTGGAATACTATTATAAGAATCCCGACCCCTAGACTAACTGTGTCTTTCAGGGCTCCTCAGAAAGTGACCCTTCACCAAGCATGTTTTCAAGTTTTCCGACAGATCTTGGAACTAGTTGCAACGCTGAGGCTCCGGCAACTCCCATGCTGGCAGACGTCAGCTCGTTGCCGGAAAAATCCACCTCCTCATACACAAGCCTTCAGCGGTCGAAATTAGAGCACCAGACAAGAGACATCAAACATGACCACGACACTTCGAGAACCATTTTCCGTAGTTGTATTCGTACCAGCAGCAGGAGTAGTAGCCGAGTAATAGTAGAAAGCGTCGTTCGTCGTGGTCGCGGTCGTCGCCATGCAAACGTCGTCGCCGCCGTCGTAGCTGCAGCACCAGCAGCAGCCGCAGCAGCAGCAGCAGCGGCAGTAGCAGAACTTGTGCTGGAGACAAGAAATGCTGATCATGGAAACACCATACTGACCGCAACAGTGACAATCGCGATGGTTAGGGAACTCTCATGCTGCTCTGAGGTCTCCAGATCCGGGCCGCGGGCTCCTCATCCATCTTCGACCTCAGGGTCCCCCAAGCAGCTACAAAACACAAAGGCGCAGGAGGCCAACTGGAGGAAAACTGTGGGACGGACAGAATCGCCTGCATGTCCTTGTCCTGTTCGGGGAGAATGATTCTGATGCTGATTGTATCGGTGATGAAGATTCGACGATGATGGATGCTGGAGATCACTAACCTGAAGATGCTGATTAAGATGCAGGTGAAAATCACTCTGATGGTGAAGGCGACGACAGTAACGAGGAAGAGAATGCAATCGAAGATGGCGGTAACTAAGATATGCATTAAGATGGTGAAGCTGCTCATGATGTGATGACGATAACGGTACCAATGGTGATAATAATGACAGTGGTGAGGATGAACAGGATGGTTTTTCACGACAAATGTGATGACGATTATCATCGCGATAATGGCGGACATCGCGACCTGAGTGCAACAGTGACAATCATCGTCACCATCTTAACCATCACCGTGGTCTTCACGACCAACTTCGGGGTAACTTCTCTGGTCACCATTCCGCTCACTGCATCGCGTGCAAGCAAAGCACAACTATCAGGAGACGTGGCAGCATCTGGGAGGAGGATGACAGCAGCACAGCAGTCGTAGTACAAGTCGCAGGCGCGGAGAAACAGTTTCGGAAAAGTCGCCAAGTGGGAGGTAGCAATACAAGCCCTAGCAGGAGGAGCAGAAGATGCAGCAGGAACAACTAGAAGTAGAAGTAGTAGAGCAGAAGTACAAGTAGTAGAAGAACTAGAAGTGCTTCTACTAGAAGCACTGGAAGTACTAGAAGTACTAGACGTACGAGAAGTACTAGAAGTAGAAGTACTAGTAGATGCATCAGTAGATCAGTAGAAGAAAAAGAACTCAGTAGAAGCAGATGTGGGAGCGCCAGCAGCGCTGTAGCAGCAGCACTAGAGGCAGCAGCAGCAGCAGGAGGAACTTTGCTGCTAGTAGCGGTAGCTAGTAGTCAGAAATTAGCGGCTTGTAGTTTGTAATTTGTACTTAGTAGTTATATAGATCCCAGTCAGTTCGCAGTCCGCGGGTCGTGGCTACTAGCTGAGAGTTTGTAGCTAGTTGTTCCTAGTTCGTAGCTAAGTAGCTGGTATTTTGCCGTCTGTAGTCGTAGCGCGGTGTTAGTGCTTACTACTCAGCGCCTGGTATTGCTGCTGCTGTTGTTGTGGCAAAAACAGAAGAGCAGCCGATGAAGTAGCAGCAGCAGCAGATGTGGAAACAACACTAGTCCCATTACTCCAGTACTCGTAGCGTAATTTTGCGTATTGGGCGTTGTAGCGTAATAAACCGTGCAACACCGGCAATCCTTCAAGCGCTCGCGGCAGCGGACCAGCTTCTTGGCGTTCGCCTTGATATCCGTCGCAGCGTTATGATGAATCCCCCGAAACAAGTACTTCTCGACCCGTGTTGAACTATCACGTGCATTCTTGTTTTCTTCTTGCATACTCTTGATGCTCATTCCGCTTCTCCTGCAGTGCTGTCCCTGGACCTTCTCTCGAAGCCGGATATCTTTGCTGATTGCTTCCTTGGCACCCTCTGATTACGGTGCCTACTGCGAATTACGCTGTGCTGACCCCTACCCTGTACGACAACCCCCCAAGTCCTAAGCTTCAAGCAGCTGGGCTCATGGCATGCAACACGACTCTTGTCTCAGGCTCTGGACGACCTGCATCTTCTATAGCCTGACAGCACCAAGATCAACAGCGACATAGCGACAGCGGCAATCCTAAAACTAAGTTCGATCAAACGCACTTGCCCCCCCCCCCCCCCCCCGTATTTGCCCTAAGCCCCAGAACAAACCCGGAACCCAAAACCCGAAGCCAAAAATACTAGATCCTGCGCCACTGATTCGCTATGGTATCACCCCAGTGAAAAGGCGATAGGAAAACATACTGACATTAACATGATGATGGAGTACACCTGCCTGCTGGTAGCAGTAGCACGCTTAGGTGCTAAGTTACCTGTTCGTCAGTAGTTGTCGTAAATCCAAGGGAGGATGACCTACGAGCCCCTCCACTCTCCCCTAGCCAGCGCTTGAAAATACCTAAGCATCCTAAAAAAAAAACCTGATGACACAAACCCGGCCTAAACCCCCCAAACTTCAAAGTCTGCCTGAACCCCAAATCTCTGCTAGTAACCCTATTACAATAACCCTTCTTGTAGACCCTGCAAGAACTTCAACCCTCGTCGCAACCCTGGAAAACAACTCACGCTTACAGCCCTTAAGGGTTCCTTTAAGGGTCTCTTTGAAGGTTCCTTTAATGGTTCCTTTGAGGGTTCCTAGGGTTCCTTCAAACGTTCCTTTAAGGGTCCTTTTTGAAGCCCGGAAAAGCTTGGTAATGGGCCAAAGTCTGCTCGACGGCCGGCTCCGGCTTCGGCTCGGCCTCTGGATCCCAGCCTGTTGGCGATCTACCGCTTAAGAATTACCAGGTAATTATAGGTAATTATAGGTAATTGTAGGTAGTTATTTATAATTACCTATACTTCTTAGGGGGTTTCCTTGTAGTATGAAACCCTATTCTGACTATTAGGTTTTTTTTCCAAGGGCCTTTTTCCATTCCCGCAGCAGGTCTGCAGAGCCCTACGGCTTAGGTCTAGGGTGTGGGGTTAGGGCGGCATCACATAGGGGCTGTAATCATGAGAATAGGTGTTGGCGCGGCGGGTGGTTATCGCATGAAGATAGTAAGGAACCCTGAGGGAAAGTATCTCAAAAATGTCCTGGCTTCTATTTTCACCACAACCCTAAAGCCTAAACCCTAATATCCCCCTCAAACCCCAAACTTTAAACGGATGATACTATGTAGAGACATAAGAGCATGGCCTTAACAAGTCGAATAAGGTATTCAGCATCTTTAAAAGTTCCAGTTCGCGAAAGGGACCTAAGGTAAGTACGCAGGCTAGAAAGGAGCAACTTTCGGTCATCCTGAGACGCGCACCCTCGGTGGGGCCAATTTGGCTGGGCGCTGCATCGGTAGCACTTGGCGCGAGAAGCCTGAGCAACGGGTTTACGGTTGCGAGAAGCCTGAGCAACGGATTTACAAGTTCGTGCTTAGGGAGAAGAGTGATACGGGTTCAGGGTTCGCGACTTAGGGATATGGGCCCTGACTTGAAAGTGTGTTTGGGGATTCGATACTTAGGTTTCGCTCACCTGAACATTCAGCATTCCTGAGCCTCCTTTCCTGCTACAGTTATTTAACGCTAAACCGTAAGCAGCGCAAAAGCTAAACCCTAACGCCCTAAACCCTTTAATCCTGTGCCCATTTGTGGGGTCTTGGAGTATATTACACTGTGGCCTTTTGCTATAAGCAGAAACTGTTAGTGGTTCGTTTCTTGCACTTTTCGCGAGGATGAAGGTGCTCTGGCAGCGATACTCGCTCTCTCTCTCTCTCCATAGTAAAGACACTCTGACTCGCAAGGTCGATGTACTTTGCCGGAGCTGTCACTGCTGCAATCCTTTGGTTTGTGGTATTGCTGGTGGCGGGAGCGAAGACTTCATGAAGCGCCTCTCCGGACAACATTACCACTGTCACAGGGCTCGGCGCCCCGCAAAGCGCTGATGAAGGATCCTGGCCTTAGCTGTTTTGCTGCGGCGCTCGGCGCCGATGTGGTTTGCGAGGAATGCCGAGGGTCAGGTCTAGCCTCGCCAAAACCTGGATCCTCGTCAAGAAATTTATTTTAATTTACTGTGATAGTGAGGAAACCACAGTATAAACTCATATACTATAGACCTCTACTATGGTGATAAACGAAGTGCCTTTACAAGAACCCAGCAATAGGGCACATGTTCCTGCCTACACAAGCTGCACGACGTTCCGATCTTCGCAGCTTGGGTTCGGGGGTGGTAGTTGTTCTTGCGAAATTTCACGCCACAAACCCCCGAGCCTCAGCCTCAAACCCCAAATTCAAAATCGCAAGCCTGAACGCTTAAACCCAAAAAACCGGCAACCCTCCCCAAACTCCTATTCCACTAAACCCGTTTCAAACCCCTTTTCGAACCCTTGTAGTAACGCTTATAGCAGCCCTTAAAGCAACCCTTGGAGGAACGAACCCTTGCGGGAACCTTTATGGGAACCCCTCGGCCGGCTGAGGATGGCACTCACTGTCCATCGAGGGAAGCAGCAAGATCAAGCACGGACACCTGGGCTTGGAGTTGCCATGACTATGCGGGAGACTATAGAGGTTACTGTAAATTAATGCTTCAAGGGTTCTGGGACAGCCGAAGATCCAGAGCAGGAGCGAGAAAAAAAAAGGGCGAATGTGCAGAAGATCCGAACAGTTGAAGAAAGACGGACTTTGGGGTGTTGGACTTGGGTGCTATACAAGAGGAGGGAAGAAGCAACAAGACAACAACGAAGACGAGGAACCGCTGAAGTCACCGCCAAGAACACAAGCACAACGCGGGGCACAGTGCTCGTAGTGGAATTTCATGAATGTACCACTCACAGTTCGCGACGACCAGGAATCCACAGACTTAGATACGATACCACCAGCAGAGCAGGCTCGCGAGCAGGATGGCTTGAGTCAAGTACGATAGGGCCTTAAAAATTAGAACAGGGTTTTGGGCCCGCTATACTACAACTATGATAAGGAACCCCTAGAATAGTGTTGGTAACGAGTTAGGGCCCTATAGTACGTCGAACCTGACCGAGCAAGGCTTTGAACTTTGCGACTGCTTTGCTGGGTCTCGCACGCTCTGTCCACACTGTGCTTCAATCAGGTGCATGGCAAGATGGCCAAGACCACCTTACACCTTCAAACCCCAAAGCTGTAACCCCACTTTAAACCCCTGAACCATGCGGCCGGAGAACCGCTGTTGAGGGGCTGCAGGTGAGCTTCGTGAGGTTACGTGATGATGCCCGGGTAATTTACATAAGATGTTGGTCCTGACTCTGAGGGCATTGGGATTCCAGCGGCGCCTAGATGCGGCAACCATGATTACCAGTGCAGAAGCAGAAGAACAAGGCTAACAGGACTGCTTGCAAGTTGGTCTGTGAGCAAAAGCTGAGTGGGGCTATCGTCGAAAACGGCGTCCAAGCGTCACGAGGCCAAGGAAACATCTCGAGCGCGGCATCTTTTTGTGCTGGCCAACCCACGTCTGCGACCCGCTCGCCGCATACTTCTCTGAATTAGGGCCAGAATCAGTATCCTTTTCATCGAATGACAGACTCTTTTGGAGCTCCAAAAGGCGGACCCCAACTCAGAGCATCTATGTACACAGCAACTTGGAGAGCTGCTCAGTTCTGTGCAGGAAAGTCATGCTGTTCTGTCTTTGAGGGCGACCATGGCCCTAGAACAGCTGAATGCACAGCCTGGCAGAAGCTTCATCAGGGTCCATGGATTGCCAAAACAGTCACAGCCCTGCTCCAGCCTCTGCCTGTAGCAGCCAGCGCTTTGCCTGTAGTGCTTCATGTCACAAGACAAGGTTGCGGGCGTAGCGTCCAAGTTTAGAGGCTAGGGTGTAGGGCTTTCGCAAGATCATAAGCTCAAGAAGAGCAGGCAACCTGCGCTAATGCTGTTCCCTGACACTCCTTCCAGGATTCCAACCCGACCATAAACTACAAACCCAAAACCCTAGATCTGGAAAACCCCCACCCCAAAGCCAAATCTCAAACCCTAAGCCCTAACAGGAGGAATCCTTGCGCCCGTGATGCTTCCTACAAGGAAGTCGGTTTCTCCCTATTGAATTGAGTCAAAGAAGAGAGGAGATCACCTCTCCGAAGCTCGAAAACCCGGTCTCCGGGTTGGGTTTAGGGTTGAGGTATTGAGCCTTTAGGGTTTAGTTATTGAGTGCTTCGGGTTCAGGCGTCTTGGGGTTTAGGGTTTTTGCTTTTGGGAAGTAGGATTCAGGCATGTAGAGTTTAGGGTTTAGGCCGGGTGCAGGATTTCGGCTTCTAGGATCCGAGAACCCATAACTACGTGCGGCATATCGTATCTCAAGTAGAAGATGCTTGTATGTGTGTGTATATATATATACACATATGTATACTTATATGTGTATATATATATACATATATATATATATATATATATGTGTGTATACACATCTGACCTTATGTGTACACATCAAGATTGTTACTCGTAGGGCATGCGGAGTTCAAGGATTGCAAGTGCTCGTCTGGTGCATCCACAGTAGTTCGTCGGCGTTCAGAAGTTGTGCCGGGGCTTTTGAGGTTTAGGTCTTAGGGGAGCTTTGAGGTTCAGGCTTTGCTGACTGGGTGCCAGCAACTCTGAAGCGAAACTTTCTTTCAGGACACAAGCTCAGGAGACTCCACAGGCGCCTCCTGCGAGCCAGTATGCTGAAGATCATTCAGCACCGACACCTGGGGGGAGCGGGGGGAGTCTGAAGAACTATTTTACAAGACTTGGAGAAGTACGACATATCGCATGCCGCTGCACCAGCTGCTTCCAGCAGCCGCAGCAGTCACGAATGCCGCGTCCATGCAAAAACGCAGAAATGGCCGTGGCCATCAGGAAGTTGGATCAGCAGCTAGAAACGCACAATTCTAGGGATTAGGGTTTGGGTTCTGGGCGCTGCTGAAAGATCTCTGAGCCCCCAGATCTTAAACCCTGACAGCTGAGTCAGTGGCAGCCTTGAGGTTGAAATACTCCGCAGCCTTTCGATCGCCTTGCAAAAACCGCACAGAAGCGATTTGGATCCATGGGGTGTCGAGGATAAGGGTTACCATAAGGGCTACTAGAAGGTTAGGATAAGGGGTTACTATATGGGGTGCTGCGAGGGTTACTGTAAGGATTCAGGTATCTAAGGGTTTAGGGTTCAGGGTTTTTGGGGGGCTTCGGAGTTTAGGAGCTATGAAGTTAGGTTGTAGGATCAAGCTGATAGCTTCAACCACATCAAAGGTGCACGAAATGCTGTTTCATGAAGCTCAAGCTTTACAAAGCAAAACTCCGACACAATCAAGAAAACATACTGAAAACGACCTGAATGGCGAAAGTGTTGGTAAGACGAAAACCCTTCTGGCTATCTCCACACTGGCACTTGTACTTGCAACTGCAACATCCGGCACAAACTCTAGACTCTAAACCTTGGAACCCTAAACCCCGGAACATTGAACTCTGGAGACGTAAGCTCCGCACCCATCTCAGGCCACCTGGCCACCACGTAAACCAATGCCATCTTGTGGCTTAGTACCTGGTAGTTTTTTTTGCCTGGGTCTTTTGTAGGGCTTGGGTGCTTGGGGGTCCTGAGGGGTTTCAGATTTGGCTGCTTTCGCTTCGGCCGTTCAAGCTTGCCGGCTGTCTCAAAGGATAGCTTGGATCTTCGGACAGTAGGTTCCCGTTTCCGGGTTGTTGTCTAGTAAGTAGGAAGTAGTGCTGAAAAAGAGAGAAAGAATCGCGATAAAGAGTGAGTGGCGATGACTGTGCTGAAGGCTGCAACGGTGAAATGCTGATGAAGATGGTAGCAGATATATCCGTATGAGGTATGGGACCCTGGGAATGTTGCGTACAGCGACCATGACCACAGACATAACGGCACGAACAAAAACTGTGCAAATGAATATAGTATAGTTAATACGGTGCAATGTAATACAACATAACACGATATGATTAGTATACTAGAACATAGTACAATACCATATAAGGCGATGTATTGTAATGCAATATATGCATGTGTGTATGTATATGTATGTATGTATATATATATATATATATATATATATATATATATATATATATATATATATATGTATGTATGTATATACATATGTATATATATATATATATATATACATATGTATATACATACATACATATATATATATATATACATACACATATACATACATATGACTCTATATATATATATATATATATCATATATATATATATATATGGTAGCTTCAGACAAGTATGGGTACCCCGTTGAGGTGTCCATAACCTGAGGGTCCTACTGTTTAGAGTTCTGCTTTAGGGTCCCTCATTTTTCTGAAACTCCTATGTTAGAAGTGCAACCTCATCAAGGCCTTTTTGCTCCAGCTGCTCAACTGGGTCGGCCTACGCTGATGGTCTCATCGGACACGTCCCGCTCAGTTGAGCTCGATGTCCTGAGTCACGCTTGAGGTCTTCAGGTGTAGGGTGTACCTGGCAGAGTCTGAGCATCCGCCTGAGACACAAAGCGATGAGGCGCAAGCCCAAAACCCTCGAGCCGCAAACCCTAAAACCTGCAGCCCCCAAGCAAGGACGAAGCCCAAGCGCTACACCCGAGTAGGCATGCTGAGCACATGGCCGAGCAGTCACCAAGCTGAAGCGCTTCGCTGCCCGGCTGTTCGTCATGTCGAACTCCAGAAGATGTAGCTTTCCATCCTGCTGCTTGGGCTCAGGAAACCGGACCTCAAGGATTCGCAAGGGCTTGATATGGCCATTGTTTGCAAGTGTTGCATGAGGGTTCCACACAAGGTTTTGTAGGACGTTGCAAGGGTTTGGGGTTTTGGGTTTTTGGCTTAAACCCAAACTAGTTGCATCTACCCCTGTCATTACCACCAGTCCCGCTCTTGCACAGCGTGGGTACAGACCTTCAGCGCAAGCACACCAGCTCTGCACGCAAGATGAAGAGATTAGATGTGAACCAATGCTGCTTCGACCTAAGGCTGCTAATGCTGCTGCTACACTGAGCTGCCGACAGGTGGGGGAGAGGGGTGGCCAATACAGTTCATGTTCTTGTAGCACAGGTGGCGAGCGCCGCTGCTGCTGCTGCTGCTGCTGCGGGACGCACCCTTCAAACGAATCCATGAAGGAACAGTGCTGCGTGTCTCATACACACGTCACCCACACGGCAGGGCCCCGAAGCGGAGGTGCCCCGGGGACCCTAAAGCCAAGAGACTGAAGCCGCTTAAAACGAGCCCCGAGCCTCGGAGAAGTGGCCGGAAATGCCAGGCGACCTGAGCTTGGACATGGGGAGCTGATAAAAAGAAGCTTCGGGCCTGTAGGGATTCTGCGGGTTTTAGGGTGTAAGGCCCACTCTTCCCTCTTCCACGGCAGTTATCATAAAAACGACGATAAGCTGAACAAGGATGCGAGTAGCTGCAGTAACTGTAGCAAGTAAGGTCCAGGCAACAAGCCATACCAACAAGAGTAGAGCTAATCGGTGTGAGGTATAACCATACTGTATTTCCCTCTATCCGACCTCTAAGGGCGTTTCCGAAAATCGGGGACCCTAATGTGGTACCCAAAACAGAAGGATCCTTATTACGAGGACCCCAAAATAAGGTACGTATCCCTAATTTTCGGAAATTCCCCTAGCAAGCACTAAGGCTGCACGAGGGGCAGGTCAATCACAGAAGCCTCAGCCCCATCTGCGGAAGCCTGAGGGCAGAGAAGGAGGCGCGCTCGCTGCCCATCCTTCATGCACCTTGGAATTTAGGGCTTCGTTGGTTTAAGGTTTAGGGTTTAGGATTTAGGGTTTAAGGGTTTCGGGTTTAGGGTTTCGGGCTTAGTGTTCGGGTTTGTTTATTTCTCTTTTGAGTCAGGAGGATTCTTTTATTGGAGGGGAGGAGTGTATATAGGCGCTTTGGGCTAGGGCTCAGGGCTTGGGACTTTAGGGTCTAAGGCTCCATGTTCACGATGTAAAGTTTAGGACTGAGCAGCAACGGCACCGTGCAGCTGTGGGTGCCGACCGTAACTGGCTGAGAACATGGGGCTTGCTCCAGTCCTGCCAGGAAAGGGTCGTTAAGTTTCGTGCCTAGGGCATTTCAAACTTAAAGCCACAAGGTACTGATCGCATGAAGACCTATCAAACGCGGCAGAGCTTTGCCCCGGAAGCACGGGTTAAAAACAGACCCATCAGGTCCTCGATCTCCCAGTCAGCATCATCATCTCTTTCCGACAGCTCGTCTACCAAATTGGCCGTGAACTCCTGGGCCATCATGCCGCACTGCCATCATGCTGCTCCACAAACTCCTGTTGAGACGTGTTCAGTGCCCTTACCCCAAACCCTTAACCCAAAAGCCCTGGATCGACACCCTAAGTCCCAAAACCCTCTCGAAAAACCCTTCGAAACGCACCGCAAGCGCCACAACTCTCACACTAAGAGCCCGGAAACCCCTGTTCAAGGCCCCATGGTCCGGTGTTCTGTCGGCTCGTCACCTGCCAAGACTCTGTCAGCACGACTGTTTCAGGCCAGCCGGAGGTTTCATCGCCGCCTGCCACAAGCTCAGGGTCTTGAGTTGAGGGTCTCGGGCTCTAGGCTATAGAGTTTGTGTTTGGGCCTTCGTGTTTTGTGTTTTTTGGATTGAGGGCCTATCTTAGGCATGACTGCTCAGAGTTCCAGCGGTCTAGAAATCTGGGGCTTGGGGGTTGAAGGGGTTGAAGTAACCCTCAAAGTAATCCTTTTCGAAACCTTAGTTTGCGAGCCTCGCTCAATGAATTGAATCGCGAAGAAGCAGAAGCCCCTGAGATCACGGGACCTTCTTTTGCGACTTAGGCTTGAACTCGAAGATTTAGGGTTTAGGGGTTTAGGGTGATAATGGATCGCATACCAGGTACCGGCCCCGAACCTCCTAGTAGATCGCAGCTAAGGCCATGCCAAAACCCAGAAACCCGGAACCTCTGGGCGTAAACCGCAAAGGAGCCCATGTAACAACCTGAAAGCAACGCGAAACGCTGAACTCCCCAAACCCTCAAGCCCTGAACACGAATCCCGAAGCTCTGAACCCCAAAACCTTGCAACTTGAAACCCTGAAGCCCGAAAAAAAGTTGGCCCCTGCGGCTCCAAGCCCTAGAGCCCTAGGTCTCGAAGACCTCAAGGATCTAAAGCCTATAAGGCTAAAGCTCCAAATCCCACCCTCCAGATCGCGAAACCCGCACGACCCGAAGCCGCGAGCCCTACACGCTCAAGCCTGAACCCATCCTTAACTCCACACTCTAAGCTCAGAACTCAACGACCCAAACCCTCAACCTAAACCCTTAACCCTTAACCCGAAACCCCCAAACTCTGAGCCTAAACCCTGAAACCTGAACCCTACCCTTATAACAACCTAAACCCTGAAGCCTCAACTCTAAGCCTAAACCCTAAACCCTCATCCCAAAACCCCAAAAACCCCATGCCGACACCCTGAAGCCTCAACCCCCAGCCCTAAAGCCCTGAACCCCAAACCCTAAACCCCTGAACCCCCCACCCAAAGCCCCCTAAACCCTAAACCACTAAGTACCCTTAAAGTAACGGTGTAAAGGAATCCCCAAACCCTTCCAAACCCTTCTAAACCCCTAAACCCCCCCCCCCAAACCCTAAGGCCCAAAACAAGTCTTCCCTGAGGCCTGGCACGGCGCTGCCGGCTTGGGCCATGGCCGCGGGCTCGAGCGCCCTCTTTTGGGCGGCGTAGGGCTTTGGTGCTTTTAGGGTTCAGGGGTTTAGGGCTTCGGGGCGTTAGGGTGTAGGGCTTGTTTAGGGTTCAGAGCTTAGGGAAACTCTGAAGAAAAATTTAGGATGTACGTATCAGGGCTTAGAGCATACGGTGTAGGGTGATGTGGGCGTTAAGGATGCTCGGACATGAGGCTCAGGGCGCAGCATTCGGATCTAAGGCATGAAACTTCAGGGATTGACGATGAGGCGTTTAGGGTTGAGGGATTGAAGCTCAATGTTTAGGGCTGCGGGATGAGAAAAAGTTAGCAAGAAGGCGAAAAGAGCACTGCTCCAATCAAAAAACACCACTGTCAGGTATTTAAACGTTCACCTCAATGCCCAAACACCCACGAAAACCCAGAACTCTAATTCTTGACCTGCAACTCTCCGCTGAGGCCCTGACGAAAATGAGCATGCAAAGAAGCTGTTTGTCAATGCCACTGCAGGTTAGAGACTCGCATTCATGACAGGCCCGAGCTGCACCGAAAGAAGCAGCACCATATCAGAAAGAGCCACTGTACAGAAGAGGGCGGGCGCGGTGGGGCGCACAAGCCTCATGGCTCAATTAACTAAGCAGGTGCACCTGATACATGACTTTGAGCAGCCAAACTCAGGGGAACAGTTGGTCATCATCTGCGCCCCTTGCCTTCAGGCCAGACGTTGGCCCAAAGTTCATGGACCGTTTGTTCAAGAATAAGGGGTTCATTCTTGACCTGCAACTCTCCGCTGAGGCCCTGACGAAAATGAGCATGCAAAGAAGCTGTTTGTCAATGCCACTGCAGGTTAGAGACTCGCATTCATGACAGGCCCGAGCTGCACCGAAAGAAGCAGCACCATATCAGAAAGAGCCACTCACCCCGCACTGGCGCGTCTCAGAAACGCGCCGTCAAAAGCAATGACATCACAGCTTTCAGAAAAATCTTCACGAGTGGGAGCAGGTCGTGGAAGCCCTCACCAGATGAGACAGCAACGGCCTTCTCCCCGCAAGCCGTCGAAGATGGACCGCAATCAGTAAACTGCGATGCACTCGCAAATTGCCCGGTCCCATATGGCAGAGCGCCAGCGGCATTGACATAAGCAGTGAAACACTCAAAGCTTCATCAAGCCTTGACAGCACCGTAAGCATCCACCAACGAACCAACCCGAACTTCCAGCGGGTTTCGGCTGCGGCGTTTCCCAAAGCCCTTGCGAAGAGATCTGGCTCTGAAGAGCCTTTTGCCTCGGGATGGGCCGTCAGCTGGGTTGCTTTCGCTGGGAATGTAAATGATTCTGGGCAACAGGTCTGCGGCCAGCGTCGTTGCGGCTGCAGCCCTGAGCACAGTACGGAGTGCGCGAGCAGAGCTCCTTCCTTTAGAAGCAGCTCCAACCACAACTTTAGCATCCAAAAGCAGCGCAGCTTTATGATGATGGTTTGCTGCTTTGCGTGCGATCCACTTCAAGGACAGCAGGTATGCGTGTGCCTCCAGCGCACCAGAATGTGCCTGCCATTTAGCTTTGTAGGACATGACAGTTGCAAAATCTTCCTGGCGAAAGCGAAGGCGATGTGGTTGTCCCAGCCTGCAAACTTCAGGAGGATCTTCGAGTCCAGGCGTAAGTCTCACATAGTCACCTCGCCTTTCTGCCAATCTGCAAACTTCACCTGCTTCGGTGGCACTGCAGCTGCAAACGGAAACTCCAAAGCCGTACTGCGGCGCTGCATCTGCAGCAGTTAAGAACTGAAGCGGCACGCGATCTAAGGAAGTGCAAAACAAAGGAGCAAGCACCAGAGTTAGCAAGATCTCATCCATAGCGTTGCTAGGAACCACCTGTTTCTGGCGCGTGGGCTCACGCCGGACGAAGCCAAAAACTGCATCGTAGATGCTGAAGAAGGGTCGCTGCAGCAGAGAGAACCATTCCCACACGCCAAGAAGCGAGTGGAAACCCTCAGGTGAAGCTGTTCCAGTGGCGAGGAGGTCCAGTGTAGAGCAGACAGCTTGTCCCAACTTCGCAATGTTCGGACGAGCCACTGCAGGATGAGAAGTCAGGTCACAGCCAAGCGCCGTGACTTGGCTCTCTAGTGTCACATCCTTCTTGCGGTTCCTGGGAACACCACACTCCTCAAAAGCCTGATCGAGCCGTCTCAGAGTGGAGGCCCCCTTATCCTTTCGCTTGTGTACCAGAACGGTGTCATCGGTCGCTACGAAGCAAGCCTCATCGAAGCAGGCGGGCAAATCATGGTCGAGCGACAGCACGTTGCACTCTTCAATTCCAGCCCGACGGCATAATGCCAAGGTTGTCTCCTGCGCCACCGCCGATGACCAGGAGAAGCCCATTGGCCACACGGTGTGCACCGGAAAAATTTTCGTAGAGCCCGTCACAGTCTGGGCCGGATCGTCGCAACATTTAAGCACATCTTCCATGCTGAGGCCAGCCGCCAGCAACTCGTGCACGTAGACGGGTGGCTGAGCAAACCATCCCTGCAACTCAGCCGGCGCCTGCAATGCATCAAAGAAAGTTGAAGCGTCACGCTTGGAGAAGAAAACCTCGCTGCCGGGCTCAATCTCCAAGTCCAGAAAGGATGCAGGGTTGGCCAGTCTGCATGGCTTCGGAGGGCGAGAAGCACGGCAGGACACAGACGAACCATCCCAGACCTTTCGCTGTCGACCAGAGGTCTTACCGACAGCAAACACTCCACCCAAGCCTTGCACAGCAGTTCGCAAACGTAGCTTACCACACTTGAGTTCACGGATGGTGAGCAAGATGTATTGCTGACGCTGCTCTGGACTAAGGTGGGGCTCGGGCTCGTTGACCTGAAAGCCAGCCGGAAAGATTCTCTTGACATCAGAGATGACGGCCTGCATCTCCTCCGGCACAACGGCCGAAGTCCTGCATGTTCCCGCCACATCAGGCAAATCCACGGCTTCGCTCCGCAACTCCTGGGAAACCGCAGTAGCGGCCTCACTGCACTGAAAAGCGTTGCGCCACGGCAGGCTGTTTCCGAAGTGACTGTCCAAATCACCCAAGAAACTCACAACCCGGGAGCATACATGGCGATGTGCAGAAGCCTGTGCTTTAGTGGGGGTCCAGGTGCCAAGCACAGACGGGTCGGGCTCTTTCAAGCCACTGTACAAGCAGTTGAGTCCCGAAATGCAGATGTTGCTGATTTCCAAACAAATCGTCTCGGACACCTGCCTGGTGTCGACTTGAACTGGCCAGTCTACAAGCTTGGGCAAAGGTAACAAATCCCTGTGTCGCCTTGACGGCTGCTGATGAGCCGCCGCACTCCACTTGTGGTAGTATCGCCCCACACGAAGCTCACATGTTTGGAGGACTGTTGCAAGAGCATCTCTGAATCTTGCAGAAGCTGGCCACGAAGTGCGCGGAAAAACAGATTCTGTTGATCTGACCTGCGGCAACAGCGTAGCTAACCTTCGCACCAGTTTGTGTTTTGCACTTCTCCAAACATTTCTGAAAAGCCTGGCCGGCGAACTCGGCATGTCCAGACTCGCTGCTCTTTCCAATCCCTAAGGGCGGCAAGCACCGAATCCAAACAAAACAAGAAAACCAACCTCACGCGGGGAGAGACATGCGCACAAGCCTCATGGCTCAATTAACTAAGCAGGTGCACCTGATACATGACTTTGAGCAGCCAAACTCAGGGGAACAGTTGGTCATCATCTGCGCCCCTTGCCTTCAGGCCAGACGTTGGCCCAAAGTTCATGGACCGTTTGTTCAAGAATAAGGGGTTCATTCCTAAACCCTAAACCCGAGAACAAAACCAAAACAGACTTGGGGCCCCTCGCCGCCAAGTCCAGCGTCTTGTCCAACTCATCCCAGCGCGGATCCTACGCGGCTGCGGAATGCGCTTGTCAATGTCTTGATAGGACATTGTCAGGGTTTTGTCGAGCTTTAGAACTTTAGAAGACTTGTCTGCCGTTTTACAGTTGTATGAGGTTTTAGAACGGTTTAGGGTTCATGGTTTAGCGTGTCGATGCATGGCCTGGGGTGCTTTGGTTGAAACACCGGTTTCGGACCCTCGAGAACAAAAAAAACAACCTGATCAATCAGGAACAACAGCACTGATTACAGTACTAATGATGCTAATCATTGTCTTGAAGCAATTCATATAGACTTCGAATCACCTGTACCTACTAACTGCATAAAGTGCATCAGCCCTAAACCCCTCAACCATAAGAGCCTCAGCCCCACTGTCTGAAAGCTCTCCTCAATGAGCTCGTTAAGGGCCCTCCGCACTGGCCCAAGGTGGACCTCCAGAGCGCTGGGCAACAACAACAACAACCGTCAATAACCGTCACCACATGTCACTACCACCACTACCACCACGACGATAACGACGATAACGACAACGCCGACAACATCGTCACTACCACCACAACACCACCACCACTACTTCGCCTCCGGCTTCTATGTCTGCTTCTACCTAAACAACTGGTACTCGCGCCATTCCCACCGTCAAGCCCTGTCACACCTAAAGGCTTAAGGTGCTTAGACTAAGGATAACACCCACAATTGTGCACACTACAAAACACCGACTTACGGTTCCCCATGATTCCTCAAGATGCGGCAATGCCTGGAGCGATGGCGAGTCTTCGCTCCGGAGCTCGTTCATCGAGTGCAGAATCTGTCACGACCGGGGGTACAGGAGCTTCGGGTTTGGCGATTTAGGTTTAGGGGCTCAGGGTTTCGGGATTGTTCCACCAAAACTTGTAAACAAACCCTGCGGAAAGCCTTGCGCAAACCCACCTACCCTCTTCCGGCTTCTTGGGGTTTAAAGTTTAGGAGAGCACCTCCCAACATAGAGGACATGATAATCAGAAGCGGGTGTGGGGGTTTATGATACTACAACCATGACAGGACCCTAAACCCGAAACAGAGCACCTCGTATCAATTCGTCTTCAGGCCCTAATCAAGAACACCGACGTTCCAAATCAAAAAACATGCCACAGCCCTAATTCAAAACCTAAACCCCAAAACCCCAAAGCCGCGAATTGAAAGTCTTACTAAGCTTTCTAAGCCCCAAAACCAACTTCGGACACCCGACCTGGTCCAACAACTTCATCATCTCCGACACGGAGAGTCCGTCCGCCTTAGTGCTCTTTAAGTTACCTTAAGGGTTTGCAAAAAGTTTTAGGGTTTGGAATTTAAGGGTTAGGGGTTAAGGGGTTAGGCGAAAGGATACTCTTATAATCTGTATTAACGTCCTCAGGTTCCAGTCTGTGACCTTTCAAGCCCGCATAAAACCTCTTAGAACTCCTCTCAGAACCCTACGAAGCCCAAGAAACCCTCTATGCGTCCCCCCACGTCCACGGGACCTTGTGAAACCCTCAAAAGCCGCCTTGTGCTCCCTTCAGACAGAAAGCACTGAGCAGTCCACCACCACCTCCACGTAGAGGGCCTGAGCTTTCCGAAACCGAGGGTCGAGCCGAGACTTTTGGCTCCTTTCTTACATTTGCAAAAAATAGGGTGCTGTTAAAGGATACCATAGGGGTTCCTTTAAGGGATCTATCTACAAGGGCTTAGGGCTTGGGGTTTAGGGTTTGTTGAATGCTTGGGTATTGTGAACCGTTCTAAGACCCTTGCCCTGAAGGCCCCAGAAAGTGGTTCCAAAGCGGACTTTGAAACCATACAGTAACCTACAAAGCCCTGCAGAACTCTTATCCAAACCCGACAGCACCCTCCAAGCCACGAAGCACACCCCATAAAAACCCTAAACCTCCGGTTCTAAACCCGAAACCAAACCCTAAGCCTTATGAACCCACAGGCACAACGAGGCCTCTCCCAGCAGCGGCAGCGCTGCCGCGTGGCGGCCTTCGGCGAATCGGAGGTTGCCACAGGCCCAGGCCTCTCGGAGAATCTTTTTTCTTAGGTTTTCGGTGTACGGGTCCTGGGGTTTGGGAGGGCTCCTAAGTTTGGGGTTTAGGGTTTAGGATATGAGATTTAGGATTTCGGGTTGAGGGTTTGGGCTTCAGGGTCTCGGATTTGGGGTTTCTGGTTCGGGGTGCAGGGGGTCTAGGATTAAGATTTGGGGGTTGGAGGGATTGCGGTTTAGGACTTGGCGTTAGGGGTTGAGGCTGTAGCGTTTTGGATCGAGGGTATTGGGTTTTCGTGTGAGGGTTCAGGGGTTAAGGAGTTTAGGGATTGTGCTTAGGGTTTGCGATTCGGGACTTGAGGCTTCATTCGGGCCTGACTGCCCTGTAGCGACAGATGAGGCAACAGAAACGAGGACATGGGGTAATCTAATTAAACGAGGGTTTTGCGGCCCAATGTACCATAATTACAACAAGGAGCCTCCAAAATAGAGTAGGTACTTATTAAGGCCCCTATATTAGGAGATGACAGACGATAACGAAGCATCAAGCTGTCTGGGCTGAGGACTTGAGACATGACAAGGCAAGATGTAGGATCGCATCCACCCTCCTCCTGCTAAACCTACCACTGCGCCATAATACTGTCACTAGTACTACTACTACTACTACTACTACTACTACTACTACTACTACTACTACTACTACTACTACTACTACTACTACTACTACCACTACCACCACTACTACTACTACTACTACTACTACTACTACTACTACTACTACTACTACGACTACGACTACGACTACGACTACGACTACGACTACGACTACGACTACGACTACGACTACGACGACGACTACTACTGCTGCTGCTGCTGTTACTACTACTCCTACTCCACCACCGCCGCCAGCAGCTCCACCACCTTTGTGGCCACCACCAGCAGTACCAAGTGCCCGCAGCTAACATGCACCTCTAGTAAGCTGCTAAACAGACGAACTACGAGCTAGACCCCAGCAGCGTCAGCAAAGGATAAGTTCTTCAACGGCACAAGCAGCAGCAGCAGCAGCAGCAGCAGCAGCAGCAGCAACGGCAGTGGCAGCGGCAGCGGCAGCATCAACAGAAACCAGACTAACAACACAAGAGGAGGCAAGACAAAGACCCACGACAAGGGACGTCATTTTTGAGTGAAAGCACCCCAAACCTTCAAACTCTAAACTCTATCCTCCAAACCTAAAGCCTAAACCCTAAACCTTAAACTACACTGTCAACGGCAGACCCGAAACCCGAACCTGAAGCCGGAACCCCGAACCCTCAACCTGATGAGTTGGTACTCGAGCGCCTGCATCCCAAACAGCGGGGATCGCTTCCCCACGGTGCTGGCGAAGAGGTCATAAGCCTACCGGATTCAAGGTACTGGGGGATTCGGGGGTTCCGGCCTAAGGGCAGCGCGTTCGAGCTTTGGGGGTTTAGGCTGCAGGATGTTCGTGCTTTGGAGGTTTGGGCTTTGGAGTTTTGGGTGTTGGGGACTGAAAATTGAAGCTTTCAGGACTTATGCCCCATGGAGCCTTACATGCATGGCTGAAGCATGCAAAGGGAACACCCTGTCAATAAGTTTTGGCAGAACGAATTCTAGGAAAAGCGATCTTGATAGCATCTTGTGAGCGCAAGATAAATGTTGACAGGGGATCTCGCGCGAGTTCGGCTGAAAACCCAAGGCCCCAATCCTCATCCGAATCCTACGTCCCCAAATCCGGCCTCCGAGTAGTAGACTTCGGCCTGCGTCTTCGCCGGGGCTGCGGGCTTAGGGTTCCTTTAAAAGGGGTCCAAAAAAGGACCCACCATAGGGGATCTATAAGGGTACTATAGGGGGGTTTAGGGTTTAGAATTTGGGGTTTCGAGGTTCGGGCTTTGGGTTGAGGGTTTGGGATGCACGGTTCAGCGTTCTCTGATACTGCTGTGGCCTGCTGGTACTCCTCGGTCGCCAGGTAACACTGCCCCTCAGCTGTTGAACTGTTCTTAAAAGCCCTGAAACCTAAGTACCTGAGCCCGTTATCGAAACATTACACACCTAAAACCCCCGAAGCATGGTATCACCAGTACATCTGCTAACGTCGTGACGGTGTTCAGGCGCAAGGGCCTGAATTTCCGTCTGACTTGGCGATGTCGCTATTGCTATTGCTATTCCTTTTGCAATCTCTATCTTTATCACTCTGGCTATAACAATCACTACTAGTATTCTACTGCTATTGCTGTCTCTAGCTGCTGCTACTACGACCACTACGACTACGACTACGACTACGACTACGACTACGACTACGACTACGACTACGACTACGACTACGGCTACTACTACTACTACTACTACTACTACTACTACTACTACCACTACTACCACTACTACTTCTGCTACTGCTGCTACTACTACTACTACTACTACTACTACTACTACTACTACTACTACTTCTACTACTACTACTACTACTACTACTACTACTACTGCTGCTACTGCTACTGCTGCTGTCACTACCACTCACTACTACTATCACTGTATGGGTATCATGACGATTGAGACTATAATTGTTGCTCTTATTCTTACGATGACTATTCTGATTGCGACCATGATGATTAGTACTGTTATCATCATTGGTATCATGATTACTAATGCTGT